AGATAATTGGTAACACATAGATATATATATATATATATATATATATATATATATAAAACAAATTGATATATGGTGTGCGTGGGATCTGATGGGTCAAGAACATTATTGCCTCTTGGCTCGAGGTTGCCTTTGTTTTTGTATAAAAAAATCAATCTATTAATCGTATACTGTTTTTGTATAAAAATAATCAATTAATATTTATTTGGTGTTCGATTGGCCATGATTAATGGCTAAATGGATGATTATGATTAGGGCCCATTAGTGGAGTCATTTCAAGCTGCCTTCGCGGACCCCACAAGTTACCGTGTTCGTGCAGAAATATAATGAGCCGTGACCATCTAGGTGCGGCCCATCTTATGGATAATAAGGGTACAAAATTCTTTAAATCCAGTCCATAAAGATATCTGTTGGGCCCGTGATCGTTTCGGCCCAAGTCCATCTCGTTGCCTCTGTTTCGCTCGGAGGGTCTTTAGGGTCGGCTGAATATCTCTCACCAGCGCAAATCTGGTCATCATCTCTCTCGCCGGCGACAGCCATGGAAGTATTTTGAGTAGGATCAATAAAACGTGGAAATGATGTCCTTGTGGAATTATTCTCCGCGATGAGATCCATGAATTTACCCGATTATCATTTGCACAACCCAGTACCCGGTAAATTCATGAGTTTACCGTGTTTCCATGAATTATTCTCTGCGACGAGATCCATGAATTTACCGGACTTCTATGTCGTGTCATGTGCATGTTTTTAAGTGTTCTGTCGTCAAATTGGACATCGATAAACATGACAGTGAACATCATTCATACAACCCAGGACCTGTAAAATTACATGAGGGATTTTACATACATCATCTTTGAATTATCCATAAAAAAAAATGACTGCTTTATCAGATTCGACACGAAAAGCAGAAGAAAAATACTCCCCCCATAAAAAAAAAAGGCAAAAGCATATTTTTTTTTTAAGGCCAGAAGAAATCGGGCATAACCCTAAACTCTTGGGGATCTTCGTCAACTGGTTGGCTCTTCTTAGCCTTCTTGTCCGGTTGTGTACTCGCGGGCGATTTCTGCTGAGTGGCGGAAGAAGAAGAAGAAGAATAAGTTAGAAACATGGAGGAGGAGAGATCAGGGTTTGAAGGGTGGATCATTTCCGATATAAGCAGCACAATTGATGCCATTAATACTCCAAAATCTTTTTCTTTTTTTTTTGGGTGGCTTGTGTTTGGGGATATCTGTCTAATAACACGCATTGATGGAATGTGCATATATATATATATATATACACGCGTGTACATATGAAAGAGTTGGGTCGGAAACAAAGATTCAAAAGCCCATTGTTTGTTTTGTGAGTGTATGGGTTTTCAAATGTTAGGAGCAGACGAAAACTGGGGACTCGTAAATCTTCGTCCGCTACTGGTTTTGTTGTTGCACGTTGGTTCATGTCGGTTTTGGCGTACCAAAAAAAAAAAAAAAAAAATCTTCCAACAATATTAAATTAAACAAGAGATTTTGAAAATAACCCACACAAAAATAAATTCTAGAAAAAATAATTAAGCATGACATACGAAAAAATAAAATAAATGACAGCTATAATATGTTATGTATTTTCTAATTAATTTAAGTATTAATACTTTTAAAATAAATTAATTTGATTTTATATTTATAATGATTCTAGAATTTTCCTTTTGTGTTTCAGTTTAAATAAATAAAACTTTCTACATAAATAAATATAATTATAGGTTAAAAATATGCTGATAATATTTAGATTGGGTAAAACCCCTAAAAAACCTCCAACTTTGGAAAAATATATACAAATAAACCTTCAACTTGAAAAATTGTCATTCAATCCCCGAACTTGTAATTTGTCACTGAATAAAACCTCGAACTTGCAAATTATTGCTCTAATAAACCTTTGACCGGTTTGACCATAATTTCAAATGATCGGAAATCCACGTATTGACGGATTGTTGATGTCATTTTTTAAATTAAAATTGATAACGTGTATAAGATGACATCAGCAATCCGTTAATACGTGGATTTCCGATCGTCTGAAATTGTGGTCAAACCGATCAAAGGTTTATTAAAGCAATAATTTGAAAGTTCGAGGTTTTAATCAGTGACAAGTTACAAGTTCGGGGATTGAATGACAATTTTTCAAGTTGAAGGTTTATTTGTATATATTTTTGCAAGTTGGAGGTTTTTTAGGAGTTTTATCCATTTAGATTATAATATTTGTTAATATAAATAAATTATTTGAAGTGAATTCTAATACGTTAGCTCGTACCTTCGGTACCTATATAGGCTTACATTAAAAGTTTATAAAAAAGAAAAAAAAAATTGAGATACTTGATGTCATGTTGGGTGTGAGAATATCATACAACAATAATAACATTTCCATCGAAATTAAATTAATTTAAGATCATTTCTAAAAAAAATCAGATAATTGGTATGCCAATATAGTAACACATTCATTAAAATTAGACAACTATTTTTTATATTATTGAATTATTTCATAATCAAACAGACGAAATCTAAGGTTACGTTACATATATATATATAAGCGTTTTCTTCCGTCGACCCTCCATTGGTACGTGGGCTTTATTCTTTTGAATGAAGTGAGGCCCATAAAGTTTAAGAGAAGGGCTTTTGGTTCTCACAGTCCAGATTAGGCCCAGTATCGACATTAAACAATTGGGCGTATCTCTTAAAATAACCGACCCGGTCATTGACCCGACCGTCTCCGGTTATCCCACACTCTAAACCGCCGTTTATTATATTTGTTGTCAAACCGAACCCGCCGGTTCGGTTCGCGGCCAAATCTGCCGCTGTCGGTCTGTATCTTCCTACCATGACGTCGTGGCACGAAGGCTTCGGCCTCTGCTCCGTCATCCAAAACCAAAGTGCTGTCTTGAAGGCTATTACGGAATTGTTCGCCACGATTTCCGGGTTCCTTAAACCGTCGAAACCCAACGCTCGACCGGCCGGTCCATAATTGTAGTTCCTACGGTTTGACAATTAGAAATAAAATTAGGACATATGTATAGAATTGGGTATATCAATTCCAATATTTCTTTTCTATAACTCAACTGAACCAATTACTTTGACTTTAAATTGAGATTATTACAGACAAATGTATATGTATATACATATATATATATATGAAGCAATATGTTAAGTGGTTGATATTGTTGTAAGGGCGTACCATGAAATTTGAATGGGTCCACGTCCTTTGTAAGACTTGCCAGGGAAACAAGGCCATCGGGTATTAGAAGAGTCGCAGTAATCGCTCTGAGGGCTCACTTCTTCTTTGAAACAAAGTCCCCAAGCGTACGGACCGTCCGGAGCCGTGGCCCATCCTCCGGTCGTCTCGTGCGATATCTGCGCCAAGAACGCCGCCACTTCCCTCCGCCGCGTCCTGATATCTCCGGTGGCTCCGAACGCCGGAAATCTTCGCGTCGCCTCCACGAACGACTCGTACGGATAGAACCCTTTCGCCGGGCAAGCGTTGTCGTCCTTGTGGAGAAATATACTGTCGTATAGAGATCTTGGAACCAGACGGGTTATCGGCGCTGGAAAGTTTCTCCGGCGGGCTTCGGTTTCTGTGGAACTCAGCGACAAGACAGCGAAGACGAGGCTGAACAAGATGGGATATAGTTTCCCCATTTTGTTCTGTTTGTTTCTGTTTTTCCCCCTTTTTCCTGGTTAATTTTTTGGTGGCTTGTGTAAGAAGTGGAGGAAGTGGTTTATATAGATGTATGTATGTATTGCATGTTTGTGGATGAAGCAATTGTGGGGGAATCAATATGAAGTCAACCGTCAACGTTTTGACTTTGAATATATATTTTTATAAATAATCTCTTCGGTGCTGCTTTTTTTTTTATTTGTATTTTTTTATCGCTTTTTTTAATCGTGTATTTCGGATCGAGGATCATACTAATTACGGGATGAAAGTAAGTCATGTGATTAGAATAACACTTTCTTTTCCAATTTGATACTCGAACTCGGGATAAAACAAACGTTTTGTATCTTCGTTTCACCGGTTGAACTACCCAATTTGGTTAAGAAACCATTAAGTTTCCATCGGTTTTGAAATATCTTATAGGGAAAGCATGTTTTTGCCGTGTGAGCTTGGTGACCATGTTGTAGATTTTAATAAAATATGTTGGTCATTCGATGACATTCATCGTTATAAGAGATTGTAATAATCTACGTGAATGGTGACTTTTGTGTCGTTGTCTGTGTCCACTAATGACCCATTCTCAGTTGGTAAAATGTCAATGAGAATATAAATAGAAACAATATATGATGCTGTCGACAGAGCTCAAGTCCTTTTTCGACGGCTAACTAACAAAAAAAAAGGCATACAACTTGTGAATATTGTAAGATGACTTGGCCGGCCTCGGACCAAGTCGTATTATTTATTTATTTATTATTATAATTGTTGTTGTCGGAATCAAATGCGATCCAATTAATGGTGCACCATGTGCTTTAGGGATTGGCATTAGTAGTGGGCATTATATTCATGGTTATGATATTATTATTTACTTTACGTGTCAATGTGTCATCTGTTTACATTTTTTTTTTTAAATTAAAGGGTAACCATACTCGGATATACATGAATCTATTTAAAGTAAGGTTAGACTGTCATGAATATTCATTCAACCATTGCCTTATAATTTTTTAATTTGTTGAATGAAATATAATTCTAGTTTTATCCATGATATGAAGATAATTATGTGTGGTTTATCTAAGACGTTTTGAAGAGTTCTTTTTTACATTATTCTCAAGTCCCGTATTTTTTCCAATTAAAGTATAACTCAAGTTTTTTTTAATAAAAAAATGAAAAAGAAACTAGAGAAAAAAAAACATAGAACAATGGGGGTGTATTACATTTGGGCCGATATTTCTAATGTTTTGTAACAAAAGTTTCCAATCCTTATAAGTTGGGCTCAATATGGGTCCATTCTTTTAGTTTGGGGCGGTCCATTTATTAGCATTGTCCAATAATTAGTGATTTCTCCATAGAAAATTGCAATATATAGAAAATTTGTTTTTAATATTTCTCATCATATGGTATTCAAAGGGCTGACAAGCTTAGTTTTGTCGGATATAAGATCCATGTAGTCCGTGCATTGTCATGAGGAGATATTATAATATATATGGATATATTTATGTATGTATTTATATATATAGTCACTTAAATATTTATCCAAACAACACACCATGATTACAACACCACCGAGTCCACGTCGTAGCAAATCAAAATTCTAAGCTCTTTTTGACCGATAGGGTATCAAAGGAATAACAAAATATAAAGTTGTTTTCACACATGAAAATTAACTCTATTTAATCGATAACTATTTTTGATTCATATATGATATATCTAATGAGAATAACTATTTAACTGTAACAAAAAAATAGCATATATATATACACGTATTATATATATATATATATATCCTAATTAATTAAGATCTAAACCAACCTTTTCATATAAGTACCCTATAACTCTGGCCATTTCTTATCTAACCCTAATTATCTATGCATAATTATTCGTTTAATATAATCTTTCATGAATGCGTGATTACGCTTTCGTTTTCAGCCACCAAACCCTACTTATCATGGGCTTGACAAATTTCAACTACGGACTTTATAGCGCATAGCAAAACCATCTCTCTTTCTTTATATATTTTTATACATTAATCATCAATAAATATCAAACCATCTCGTCATCGATCATCAATAAATCGTGCGAAAAGACTATTCAAGACCTGTTATTTTGAGACCTACCAAGGTTTAAATACGTTTCATTTCCGTAATAATAATAACAATAATACCATGTTTTAAAAATGCACTCTCAGCCATGTCGACAGTTGTCGTTTAAACTTACCTTTATTCCACAATTATTTCTTTTATTGTACATGTACTATTTTAAAAAAAATTTATATGGGAAACATTTCTTATATAAATCTTAGAGTTATTTACTTATTTTTAATCGATGAATATTAACTAGACATATACGTTTTTAAGATGTAAATAATAAAGTGTCCATGTGGCAACCATAGTAATGATTAACACCCACCCTTGTTTGAAATTCCTGACATTTTTCTATGCGTGTAATAACTAACCTTGCATGTATATGTTTGTAATTTTGCATACTTAAAAAAAAACTGTATTTTTTTCCGATAATGAAAATTTATATAAGAACGCGAAGAATTCCATAATTAACAAAATCATTATGAACTACTAAAAAGTACAAACCCTAGTAGGTCATTATTCAAATGTAACTTAAATCGCTGACGATGAAATCTATGCACGGTTTCTTACGGTTTTAGAGAATTAGACTAATCCTAGTGAATAAAAATCAACTTGATTATATACGTGTATACACACGTTGCGTGGCTACAAATATCGTGTAATCTTTACAACCTAAGGGATAGAAATTATAAATTAGAGGTTCATGATCTAATGGTTTAATCTCTAGTTTATTTATATCACTTAAAAAATCTAAATTATGGATTTTTATAATATGTGGGTCAATATTTAATTATTAGGTTAAGATGATAAAAAAAGAGAAAATAATATAAAAGTGAGCATCTTTGGAAAGCGGCACATGTGCATTAATGAACGAATTTATTGAAGCAACTAAAAAAAGTATAGTCCATAAAATATTATCGAACGCTTATATTTAATTAAATTTAGTTTTCAACTTTCATTTTACTATATGTAGGTTTAGAGGCTGGAGAAGAACTGCGTAACAAGGGCTCTTTCCCACGTACAATTAATGATGAAAAAAAATATATGTCAATGATGATCGATGGTCACTTTGACTTTTGTAAGACCCACGTGATATACATTTTGTATATTCTTTTATCTGTACGTGCAGATGGGTGGATTTCTTCGGTAACATCTATTCTATTGATCATGCATTATTTTGTTAGAAAATTGGTAAAACAAAGTTTATTTTTAAAACCCAAGTAATGAAAATATAATTTTTGAAGTCATTTTATAACGAATGTTTTTATTTTAGTGAAATACAAGGTATTAATATTTATCAAACTTAGTTTATGCATATTCGCCACCCATCCCCTGCTGCGTGTGTGTATAGGTAACTTACGTACTATATATATATATATATATAATGAAGGAGAAAGAACGAGGTTGCTTCTCAAAGTATAAATGCCTGAAAACGAACACATTCATCGTGATGTTTATATAAATAAATATGAAAAGAAAAAGGTTTTGAATGAAATTTGGCAGTGTCTATGAGAGAAGAATCATATGTATATAATTTTACCAAAATAAAATCATATATATAAAAGAGGTCGCTCACTTTTCAAAGTTGCGACGAAAAGATGGGCAAGTTGATGGCTAATACCCCTACATGTTGGTCCCATTGCGGCCGTTACTTCCCATAAATTATCAAATTAAATTCAACGGAACCCCACAAACATATACATATATATACACATGCATGCAGCGAAGTTATAAATTTTTTCATCCAAATTTTCATAATAAACTATACAATTGAAAAGTTATGTATAACTCACGCAAGTAAATGGGAAATCGTCAAACCTATATATACATACTATATAATTAAATATTATAAACTTAATTAATCGCAGTGTAGATATATATATATATATATATATATATATATATATATATATATATTTTAAATTTTGGGGGTAGAAGGAAAAATGTTACGATCGAATTTATGACAAATGGCGTATCTCAAACGTTATAGAGATTATTTATAAGTTACAAGAGATGTGGACCGTTCGGCATCTCTCCTCTCCCTTCCTCTCTGATTTCAACGGCCACTTTCTTTTACTTCGTCCACTTTCTTTCCTCCCAAAAATAAATGTATATATATGTTCACTTAAAAAAACAGTTATATAGCGACGGTAAAATCCGTCGCAAATATAAAAGAAATCCGTCGCAATTAAAAATTTGTAAGGATGCAACGGACTTATTTCTGTCGGTATAACGATGTCGTAAACGTATAGCGCTATACGTAGTGACCGGAAACAATAATTTAATTATTTCCTCTTAATTCATGTAAGTATTGATAATATTGTTTAGAGTCACTCGAAATAAATGCGTTAGTTTAATTATTTTACACAACATTCATATAGTGACTGGAAAGTGGAAACAATATATGTTTATATAGAACGCATGGGTCAAGTCGTAGATTTCTCCTCTTTTTTTCTGATTTTAATTAAGATTCCTTTCTTTTAGGTTAATAATTATATTAAATTGGATAGTAACCCGTACCTAAACATTTATTTGGGTTATACATTTCCTATATAGAATTTTCAGATTTATTTTTTTTTCCTTCTCCAAAACAAAGCTTAGGGCCGACAAAAAAAACTAAAACAAAGGTTAGTGTTCTGTACTCGGAAGACGTAAAAAAAAATGATTAGAAGCAGCAAATTCAATCGGGTATTTAATAATAAATTAAATAACAAAAGAAAATCATTTATGAATACGTTTGATCATTGACTTGCGGGTAAGATATCTCCTCACATGGAAAATTGAACGATTGGGGACTGGTTTTAGACGTGAGACAATACGATATTTGGCCCTAGCTAGATGGTCATATATATTATTATGCGGTCTACAGTTTTATTTTGTGTGTGTGTATATATATATATATTATATACATACTATTTTAATAAATAAAACTCAAAGAAGAATCACATTCCAGCTGTAGATTTCAGTGTCAACTTGAAACAGGGCATCTTCTACATCATTGACCAAAAGTTCTTTCCCCACATCTTTGATCAATCAATTTAAAAAAATATTATTTGATTATAGTATATTTTTACAGGTAATTAATATTGTTGACACGTAGATTTACATCATGTATCACAGATAATTTTATATTACATGGCACTGGTCATATGAACCGAAACGTGTACCGAAACTGGAAAACCCTAATTTTATAATCTTTCTGACAAAAATCTTGTATGATCACAAGAAAAACTTGTGTACACACGAAGCAAATAAATCCTGGATTAAAAAATGTAGCCAATATGCGGTGAAAATGGGGATATCGAAAATTTCAATAATGCATCATCAATTAATATATCAATTAAAGGAAACAGTCCAAATGTTCGAGCTTCCTTATTTTTTATTTAAATAATAATAATAATAATAATAATAATAATAATAATAATAATAATAATAATAATAATAAACCGGAGAAATTCTATTTTTTGTTTCACCTGGTTCTTATAGTACTAATGAGACAAAATGACAATATTATCTAGTGGCGATTATCTGTCCGTGGGTGATAATCAAACCATTTAACAATAAGGGATAATTCGTTGAAAATCAACCAATCAAAGGAGTCAAATATTTCAGCTCCACTAAAGTATTGTAGGGCGGTCCAATAAATTCCATTAGAGAATTGAAGAGACTTCTGAATTTTTCACTGATTTTATTATTTCAGAATTACTCAAAATTGAACTATAATAAAACATATAGATCATACACTTTTGATTTATATAATTTATCAGGATTATACACCAAGTAATTCCAAATAATGTATATGGTAATCTCCCACTGCTTATCAATTCGAGAAATAGCAAATCTTTTGCATAAGAAAATATTAGGACAGTGATCTCTGTTCCTACAACGCAGGAACAACCGGCCGTTTGTCTCAAAGGAGATATGTACTTGCCACAACTTTTGTACACATATATATATGTAATATATAGTAACCGATTGTTAATATTTTCTCATATTTATATAGAAAAATGTATAGACTAAGACTAGTATCATTTCCACGGCGGTCGTCCATGAGGCTCGTTGACGACGATAGATTAAAAAAACCCAGAAAATGATGAATTAATTATTTTAAGAAAATTAAAGAGAAAAAAGAAAGAAGAGGAAATGACGAGAGGGGGGTTTTGGCAGTGTAGTTCTTCCAAAGAATGGTCAAGTGGGATTAGGTGTTTTTCTTCCCCGTGGGTCCCACGACCTTAACGTTTTCCCCACCGTCCGATAGCGCCAGAGATATGCCGTGCCGTCAACTCCGTTGACCTGAGGCCGACTCTCTCGTCCTTTTCTGCTCTCACTCTCCCCCGCCTTCCGTTCCCGCCGTATCTACGCGTACATGTTTATCTACACCGAATAGTAAGACGTCACCGTTTTATCCTCACCTCTTTTATCATCCGCTCGTGTATGCTTTACGTATTCCTTCTTTTTTTTTTTCCTCTCGTCTACATTACAATTTACAAGTCATCCTCAATTTCATGTCAGGTCATTTTATACATGCATGTATATATATATATATATATTATATATAACACATATACACACTTGTATATCATACACACTTTTCGTTTTATCAATCTCTCAGAATATTCACGTAATTTATTATTTATATCTTAAGATCATCCATACAAAATGCTGCGTACAACAGATTTCCAAGCATGATCATACGATATTTTATCTAACTCGAAAAGAAAAAAAATATAGTATCCAAGATTCCACGAGCCTTCACACGTACTTTGATGTGAAATTTGAAAGAAATATCTATATTAATGTAATCATGTTAATTGAGAGTTTCTGAAATATCTACAATATTTGTTTAATTTGATTTGATCCAAAATATTAAATATCTATATATTTTCAGAGCAAATAATAAAATTTCTTAACCGAGTTATCCAATAGAATACCAATTAGTGCATCTGAATAACAACATATTCAATCAATTTCATATAATTATAATATATAGAATTTCCAAATATAATTATATGTGATTTATTAGAGATGGACATTATTTTCACTGGTTTGAATATAAAAACCTATACAATATTAAAGATAGTGTTGAAGCAAGGTGGCATTATTATATTTTATCTTGGTTTAATTTTATATCTTTGGTATATATAGGCTTATTTTATTTGGTTTAATTTTACAGTATTGCATCTCTAAATTTTTTATAAATATTAAGGATAAATGTTTATCTAGATTTTTTTATTATATTTTAATTTATTCGATCAAACTTTAACGTTTAAATTATTCAAAAATCAGAACACACACACACGAACACACATATATATAATTGAATATTTGATTTTTTAAAATATTTAAAAAATATAAACAATTAAACGCGGTGATAAGGATATAAATGTTAGTTTATCAATGGATATTAACTTTAATATTTTAATATGTCTCTGGACCCCACTCGTGCTTAGTCTTTTTTTCTTTCTTTTTTTTTCCTTGTTCTCTATTTTTTTAATTGATTTTCGCTTTTTTCTTGTTCTATATATAACATTTGACAAAGCAGTGATTTCTTGTTGAAAATAGAAACCTTGATAGGACTACATAACTTACCCTTGTAAACGTATACCTGCCCTCTCTCTCTCTCTCAAATGGAAGAAGATAAACAGGGTCGCCGGGAGATAGCGTTCTTGCACTCCGGCGAATATCTCCGGCGAGATTCCGGCGTGAAGGATTGCGTCAACGAGACTCAAGTGGAACATCATCGCAAACCGTCCGTCAAAGAAGTTGATTTCTTCGCCCCAAAAAGTCAGCCTTCCGATCATGGCCGCGACACAAAGATCCACGGATCCTTCCCTGCGTTAGCTTCCCATCTCGACGTAAGCTTTCATATCATAGATTGCGTAGTCTATATATAACTCTATAGATGTGTGTGTATATATATATATGTCTATACATATGTACACATATGCATATGTTTGTTGCTAAAATTGGTCGGTTTATATTATAAATCATTGGGACATATCTCTTGGTCGGCGTCACCGACGTCTAGTCCAGCCGGTACGCCCAGAATGGAGAAAGAATGGTGTCGGCTGCTGTTTCCTACCGATGATCCGCGGCTGATGGAACGGCCAAGAGACGGCTTTCTCAGGCTTGAATTCCGGAAAGATCCAGAAGAAATCTCCGATTTGTTGGAATCATTCTGATCTTTGTTTATCTCCTGCAAGCGTATGAGCTGAGAGTAAGCCCCCTCAGGATCCTTGAGTAACTCCGAATGAGTACCCTTTTCCACCATTTTCCCGTGATGGATAACGGCGATCATGTCAGCGTTCCTCACCGTGCTCAAACGATGAGCCACGACGACAGTGGTCCGGTTAACCATGACCCTGTCTAGCGCCTCTTGAACCACCCTTTCGGATTCCGCATCGAGAGCACTCGTCGCTTCATCGAGGAGCAGAATCCTCGGATCTTTTAGGATCGCCCTCGCAATGGCAATTCTCTGCTTCTGTCCGCCCGAAAGTTGTGTTCCATGCTCTCCCACCATTGTATCAACCCCCTGAGGCAACTTATCGATGAACTTTGCGGCATTTGCTAGTTCTGCCGCCGCTTTTATCTCTTCCATCGTCGCCTTCTCCTTACCATATCCGATGTTGTCCTTAATGCTTGAACTGAACAAAACAGGTTCTTGGCTGACCAACCCGATTTTGCTTCTGATCCATTTCAGCTGAAAATCCTTCAGGTTAACACCGTCCACCAACACTTCCCCTGCTTGTGGGTCGTAGAATCTCTCGATCAAGCTAATCACAGTGGATTTCCCGCTTCCGCTCTGCCCGACCAGAATATATATATATGTGTGTGTGTGTGTGTGTGTACGGATGCATTGGTAAATACGCACGCCCACACATTTATTTCTTCATTTCCATGGAGAATACCACTTTTTATAGCGATGCTTCCGAAAAATAATTAATTCCCCCACACGTATCGATCCATATTCTTTTTTGTTGGAAGAATGATGTGTTAGAAGGTGCTTCACGAGCCCTAGAGTACGGATCAGCAGGTGCATTGGATGTGAAAGTCGCCGATCAAGTTCCGGTGTCGACGGACGGGGCTCCTACCACGGCCAAGCGGCAGTTTTCCGGTGACAGAGAAGAACACGAGTCTAACGCCGGCCAAATATCTACCAAAACCCCGAAATTCGATCAAACAAAGACTGACGTCGACCAAAATCCCGATACACCTTTTAGGAAAGCTAGGGTTTCCGTTAGAGCAAGATCAGATAATCCTACGGTAATATGAATACCTTTTTTCTATATATTTATCCATTTATTTACGTTCATATATAAATAAACAAACCATGGTTGTCTTATTGAGATATATATCAATTTGGACAGATAAGCGATGGATGTCAATGGAGAAAATACGGTCAAAAATTGGCCAAGGGGAATCCATGGCCCCGGGCTTACTACCGTTGCACCATGGCAATCGGATGTCCCGTTCGCAAACAGGTAGTTTACATCTCTACGTACGATAACCATATATTTTATCACGTTCTTATTACTTTTTAATTATTATATGCGTTGGAAATAAATTCATTGCGTTAATGTAGGTCCAACGATGTGCGGAGGACACGAGCATCTTGATCACTACCTACGAAGGAAACCATAACCACCCTCTCCCTCCGGCGGCCACCGCCATGGCCGCCGCCCCCTCCGCCGCCGCCTCCATGCTATTGTCCTCTGCCACATCATCATCCCCCCCGCCCGCCGCAGCCAACATCTTCTACTCAAGCATCCTCCCATATGCCTCCACGATGGCCACTCTCTCCTCCTCCGCACCTTTCCCCACCATAACCCTCGACCTCACCCAACCGCCGCCGGAAACCTCCTCCTCCGCGTCTCATTTCCCGCTACGACCGTCCCAGATTCTGGGTCAGTTTGGTCCGCCGCCGCCCGTGCTTTTCCCGACCGTGAATAACCATAGTATGTTGAGATCTCATCATTTGTCGGGTCAAACACAAGAGCAGAACGTGGTCGAGATGGTAAGAGCGGCCATCGCCGCTGACCCGAACTTCACAGCGGCGCTCGCGGTGGCGATTTCCAGCATCATCGGGAATAATAATAATAGTAATACTAATAATAATGTCAATGCAAAAAACGGAGGGAGCCCTGGTTCACCCCAGCTCCCTCAGTCTTGCACCACTTTCTCCCCAAACTAACATTATACATATATGTGTGTGTGTTGTAGAAGTATAAACCACTTCTGTAAATGACGTACGTACAATTAGAGTGTTTTTGCTGGGATATGTTTGTATGTATACACATGCATGCTTGGTGGAGAGATCTTTATAGGGTTCTTGACGGGGACTCGATTTTGGTTATGGCTACTTTTCTTCTTACATCACCAAATATATATATATATATATATATATGTCTATATCGTTTTTCTTCTAAAATTTCCTGTAAATTATGAAATTTTTGTTCGTTTTAAGCTTGTCTTTGTCTAAATGCATATGTTTTGGTACTGTAAACACAGTATAATTGATATTAATATTATATATCAAAGTTAAGCTGCTGTTTTTTCTCCTTACAATAAATGAATGTTACGTTATCAATGCCAGGAATTGGTGGTCTAATAGTTGTGGAAAAACACAAAGTGCTGTCCACCCAGAGTGGATTCGAATACTGACAATCACATATTATCAAAAAAAAAATTGTTACGTTATCAAATATAGATAAAGAAAAACGTAAACGCACATATACATGTTGGTAATTTATATTATTTCGAAACACCTAAAGTTTTCGTTCACTTGGATACACGTCTAGGCTATTTTGGGCTTAAGAAAGTAATAATTTGAAATATGGGCTGATAAATGGGCCTATAATGAGGCCCATAACGAGAAATCATTGTAGCCGTCGGATCAGTAAAGTAGATCCGAGCGTCGTTCAAATTTGAAAAGCCGACCGTTTGGGTGTCGCTCCAAAGTCCAAATAGAAACAAAAAGCGGCAGAACACGAGGAATCAACAAAGTTTAATTATACTCCTCAGGAGAGAGAGAGAGAAAGAGAGAGAGAGAGAAGATCTTCATCTATCGCTCCGTCCTTTCGTGATTTGCTATGGATTCGTGAAGATTTTTAGCGATCGATTAGGGTTTCTTCTAGAGAGATTTGGAAAAGGTGAGGTTTCACCATGACGAGACGCCATGGTTGGCAACGTCCTCTCCACCCACTTCAGGTTAAGCTCAAAACCTTCACTTTCAGATTTTTTTTTTGTAAATATTGTTCTACAAATGTATTTGGAATTTGGTCGGTGTTTGTTCTATAGAAGGCTCTTTCGCTTGTGGAGAATCGCATGAATTTTTTCTCTGAATAGAAATTTACATCTGCACTTCGCTGAAAAACATGGCCTAATTAGCGAAATTGAGTGAAATTGCGTCGTAATAATCAAGATCTCGACACTGGATCTGCTTTAAAACTTGATTTTTGGTGCGATTTACTCGTAACATTCGTTGTTCTGTTTCCTGCTTTGGTCTTTCGTTTGAGATTTGACGAGCATTACTACTATGGAAGTGCTGTAATAGAATAGAACTGTGTTAATGTGCTGTTCGAACTGTGCAGATTGTGGGAGTGGTGATTTACAGTGTTCTGGTCGTGGCCTTCTACACGTTCCTCGGCCTTTTCCTGGGGAACCGAGTGGCTGTAATCACTGTTATCTCAGTCTTCTCCTTTGTGGTAATACTCAAAACATCATCGGGAAAAAGTTCAAGAATTTATCATCCTTCCTTATCATTCACAGGCTATATAATACATAGGTGGACACAAATGGACTTGGCTGAGTGGTTGTGTTTTTTGTGTTGTCCTCCTTCCAGGCATTCTCGGTTATAGTTTTATTTATTAGGTGCACTGCAATTGATCCTTCGGACAAAACGAGTTCCAGGAAGAGGAAAAGGGCCAAGTCCAAAGGGGTCTTGAAGCTGAGCTTCAAGGTTGTATTGAGTCAGGTTGTTGTGAGGTTCTTCAGAAGGATAGAGAGGAAAATACTCAGAAATTTTATCAGACGGACGTATTTGGATCCATGGAAAAGCACCGTGCAATTGGAGCCGCTTCTTCCATTTCCATTGGTCATGACGGATGATGCGGTTACACCAGACCCTAGAGAGGAGGATGACATCTCTTACTGCTCACTTTGTGATTTAGAGGTTTGCCTTTGTGGAAGAGTTTAACCATACACCACATTATTCCGAACAAACATGAATGCAGGAAATGTTCTTTTGCGCGTTAATATCAGGTGAGGCGTAGCAGTAAACATTGCCGGACCTGTAACCGGTGTGTTGAAGGGTTTGATCATCATTGCAGGGTAAGGACTTGGATTCTTTCCAATGAATCCAGCAGTTTCTCCTGTTATTATATTTTTTTTGCCTTGAATCCCTATTGAAGTCCTTCTGGTGCATTTGTATTCAGTGGCTCAATAACTGCGTGGGGAAAAGGAACTACAGCACATTCATGCTCCTGATGGTTTTCGTCCTGTTGATGGTTTGCTGCTTTATGTTTCTCATCCTGTCAACTATTCGAAAAGAGCACGAGAATTCTGATTTACATGAATATGATTATGATTGGCTTTCTTTCAACAGCTAATCATAGAAGGTGGAACAGCCATTGCCATATTCATCAGATGCTTTGTGGACAAGAAGGAAATGGATATTGAATTGAGGAGGAGGCTTTATGTGGAATTCCCAAGATGGGCAGTTGCTACAATATCCGTAACTTTCTCATTCAGCTTCTTAGACACCTCTTTCCACATTCCATTGCAGCTTCTTTCCGCTTACAGGTTTTAGCTTTTTGTGCTCATACAGGTTCTGCTGGTTCTATTGACAGTTTATGGCTCAGCGGCTATGGGGCAGCTTTTTTTCTTTCACGTGGTTCTCATAAGAAAGGTAACTCTGGTTTCTCCTATTGTTGCAGCCAATATCCCCTGATGAAATTTCTTGGATTCGGATTTCTTTCTCAAGTAATAATGCTCAAGCATTTGCAGGGGATGAGAACATATGACTACATATTAGCGATGAGGGAAGAAAACCAACTTACAGAAATTGATCCCTTTGACGATTTAGATTCATCTTCAGATGAAAGCTCTGATTTTGGTTCACCGGAGAGATCAAGGCCAAAGCTTATCTCAAGATTTATATGTGGGAGAACAAACGAGGTAAACAATTTTCAAAACCCTTTTCAAAAGTTCTTCATCACTTTTATGGCTTCTGAAAAAAACATATATGAAATTTCACAGGATCCGCAGAGGCTATCCATACAAATAGATGGAGATGAACACTCACCATCCACATTGATTAGCAAGAAACCGAGCTTCCATGTAAGCATCAACCCCTGGAAACTGATAACTTTAAGCAGCGAAAAGGCTCTGCAAGCAGCCGAGAAGGCACGCGAAAGACTGAGGAAGACAAAACCGGTTTCAGAGTCAGAAGGTTCACTTAAGCCACTTCCGCTAGAGACAAAGTTTGGGCCGTTACCGAATTCAGACAGTAATGTGCCTTCTAGTTCAACACCGGCATCAGTGGTTAAGCTTCAGGTTTCACCAGGAAGGTTCTCTAGCCCGAGAAGGCGTTTCTCAGGTTCATCCGGAATGTTCTCAGGTGTAGTGCCATCGCCGAAACAAAAGTACAGAAGTAACTTTGATTTGAAGTTAACTGAAGTTTCGAGAGAGCTCGAGAGTTACATCTCGAGACAGGTTTTATGTTCAGTAATAAAGCAGGATGGAAGCGAAGCATCTCCAAGATAGACAAGTAAGAAACGCTCCCCTTTTCCCGAGTTGTGTTCTCTGTCTCTGAGAAATATTTGTGAAAAGATTTGATTGGAAACTTTTCCGACAGTGGCGTTCGATCCAAAAACAAATACACATTCCTTCCTGAGATGTTATGTTTTGTTTTGTTTTCTCTGTCATTTCTTCTGTTCTTATACCTTATTTACATCCTTATGCAGTTCCCAAGTTTCGAGTTATTCGCATGAATAACGTATAATTCCGATATAACAAACAAAACGAAAGAGAAAAAAAGCTGTGAAAAGATTTCTTGCAAGCCACGTAAGGATACTATCAAAGCAATAATGATAATAATACAATATGTACACGTGATCATATGAATGAGATATCACAAAACTTAGTTGTTTTGCCTTCACCGTATCTATACAACGTACCTCTCTTTTCCTAACAAAACTTCACCCTTTGTATCCAGAAACATTTGATGTGTTCTGTTCTGTTCTTTGTACCACTTCCAAAGCCATTGTTGCCAAACTGTGTTATGCACTGGCAACAGATGATGATGACTCAACAACATCAGGTTTCTCTCTTCCATTCTCTGTTCTTTCGCTTGGCTTTCCGTTCTGAGATTTGTCCTGATCTTTCTTAACCAGCACCGGCTGAAACTGGTAAAGACAATAAAGCACGAGGTAAATCGGGCAATGGGTCGGAGAATGTGATTTTTTTTTTGTGTGTAAAGAATCATCTGAGGAGATGGGTTTTGAAATGAAACCTGATATATGGAGTATATGACATTTCTTCGAATCTGGGCCATCATCTCAAGAAAGAGATTGTATCCTTCGAGCTTATACTCGATAAGTGGATCACGTTGTGCATATCCTCTTAGCCCGACCGCCTGCTGTACAAACTTGAGGGCTTGTAGGTGTTCTTTCCACAGCCGGTCAATGTTGCTCAATATTAGGAATCTTTCCGCTTCTTTCATCAAGTTCGGTGCTTGTTTCTCTACTATTTCCTATTGACCCAAAAAAAATTACTCAGAAATATCTTATACCGAGATGAAGGGCAGGAACCTTTCAGAAAAACCCTCTACTTACTCTTTTCTGCAAGTATGCATCACGACCACAGGTACGGAGGTAGTCTTGCAGTTCCTCATAGGTTGATCCTTGACTTCTTAGCACATCTGGAGTGAGTTCACTCAATAGATAGCAGTACCTAAGAGGAAAGAAGAAATACCTCAGTGTAAGAGTACTAACAGCTAATGGTTCCAAGTCAACGTGTAATAATCATTTGGATTTATCTCTTACTGCTGCAGCTTGGCGATGAGTTTTTCAAGATCCCATGCTTCTTTTGGAGTATCAGGACCGATATTCGCCTATCATAGTACAAGTCCCAAAATCAATACAAAAGATAGAGAGAGAGACTCTAGTGGATAATGAAGAACTCATTCTACACCAATGGACTGTGCTTTTTGACAGCTTACCTCTAAAATGTCGTCCATTGTCAATTCAGCATATTCGATAATTAGAGACTCGAGATTGTCTGACACAAGAGCACGCCTTCTCTCTGTATAAACACGGTCTCTCTGGCTATTGAGAACCTCGTCATACTCAAATAGTTGCTTGCGGATGTCGAAGAAGTAGTTCTCTACTTTTCGCTGAGCTTCATCTAGAGCTTTCGTAAGCATCTTGGATTCAATGGGCAAGTCTTCGACTCTAAATGCTCGCATCAAACCCTAAAGAGTTGAATGCCATTGTGTTTGAGGAATTACTATCCATGTGAACATAGATGAATGAGAAATTAAAGATACAAGCCTAACCTGAATCCGATCCCCACCAAAAATGCGGAAGATGTTATCTTCAAGGCTGAGAAAAAATCGGGAACTTCCAGGATCTCCTTGCCGGCCACTTCGGCCACGCAACTATATGAATCAACAAAGGAATCAGCTGTAGAAATTGAAGAATAATTGTTTCCACGTAAAAGGTAGGAAAAAAAAATCAAAGATATATATGATCTCAACAAACTTATACGAAACCTGATTGTCTATTCGGCGTGATTCATGCCGCTCTGTCCCAATTACATGGAGTCCACCAGCTTCTACGACCTGTCACAATTCAGAAGGTAAAAACATCGTAACATAGATTTGGACAAGATTTACATATAGTCTGCTTTTAAAAGATTTAACCTTCTTCCTTTCTTCGTCGGTGTAGACCTTATACTCTTCAGCTATTTCATGAAAGGCACTCCTCAGTTTAGCAATGACTTCATCTTGGGCAGGACCCTGAGAAACGGGCAAGGACAGACGGCTTATAATAGCTGTTTAACATTTCTAGTCCAAACTAACATGCCAAGATAAGACCGCTTTCTGGGTTGTTCACCTTTTCACAAGAATAGGAAAGCCGTTCCTCTGCTTCAAGCTCAGTTAATGATCTCTGCCCCCAAGCCTTCACAGCTAATTGTACAGCTTCCTCTGTGAGCTTTAATTTCTCGTTTGACAGTTTGCAAGGAAATAACTTCTCACTCACCTGAATAAGGGAATTTCAAGGACAATTAGCTGGTGGACAAATTAGAAGCTCGTATTGTAACCCAAACACCAGAGATCTCAAAAAGATCGAACCTTCCATGTCTTCTTAGAAGGGGCCTTTTTTACAGATACGAAAACACCATCATTTGGCTTTACTACTCTGCAATAACGAGGAAAAACATAACGTTAGCTTAGGTGAAAGAACAATGCAATTATAATTTCCATGGTTCTGACATACACGGCAAGTAACTTTAGCAGTCACAGGCTGGATAGAATCACTTGATGAACATGGGGAAATTATTAGCATGACTAGAATCAAGGTTACTCAATTCTTTTAGTCATGGTTATAATGATTAGCATCAAGAGCCCAACTGCCAAAGTGGTTCATATGTTATATAACACATTAATTACAATAGGTTAAATCAGTGGTGAAGTAAGGATCTGTCTGATATTCAGAAGAGAATGTATTGGATGCAGCATGCTTGATACCTTGGCATTAGTATCTCACGGAGCTTCAACCGTGCCATAAATTCTGCATTACCACCAAGAATTATATCTGTCCCACGCCCAGCCATGTTTGTGGCAATTGTCACTGCTCCTAAACGACCACTTTGTGCTACAATTTCTGCTTCTCTCTCCACATTTTCTGGTTTTGCGTTAAGGACCTTTCAGGAAAACATACAAATACCATTTTATGCCAGATTTCTTTTTGCACAAAGAAAGAATATCATTTGTTTGGATGTAAAATATTATGCCTTTCATCAATAAACACTATTATATGGCAGGTTTCCTTGAACAGGGAATACTATTTCTTTAGATGCCAAAGATTTTACTTTTCTTCCCTCAAACTACAACCGGGCCAAACCATAGCATTTGGATTTGGTTTAGTTTCTGCATACACCCAGGTCAAAGTTTCATTCTCAGGAATATGAAGGCCTTACCTCATGAGGTATTCCAGCTTCCTGCAACAGTTGAGACAGTTCATCACTCTGCTCAACGCTGGTTGTACCAACTAGCACAGGCCTACCTGTTCTGTTCATTCTTGAAATCTCCACAACTACTGCCCTCCATTTGCCATTGACTGCCCTGAAAACCACGTCTGACTCATCCTGCAAATGATTTGACAAGGTATAAGATGTTACAAGAGAAACACTTCATTTAAAAAGCTAAAAGCATAAGTAGCTGCAGTGATGTGCAAACTTCCAAAACTGCAAAAATGTTTTAACATTTTCCCTAAGTTTTAGAAAATATTCACTTAGAAACAAAAGCTTTAAAGGCCCAGAAAGAAGCCTGCATACTGTAAGTTCCAACTGAGACAAATCACTGACAAACACAAGACCAAGTTGAGAACACAATCCACGAGACTAGAAAAGTTTGGAAAATGCTGGGACAAACCTTTCTTATCATGGGCTTATTTGTGGGTACGATTGTAACTTTGAGCTTGTATATGCTCTCAAATTCTGCACTCTCTGTGGATGCAGTGCCAGTCATTCCGCAAAGTTTTGGGAACTACACCATAACAGACATTGTACATGAATAATATGAAAGAACTCTTTGACGAGCCATGTTCAGACAGTTTGAAAGTGAGAATTTCCAACCTGGAGAAAGAAATTTTGATAACTGATTGATGCCAGTGTTACGGTTTCATTCTGAATCGGCAGGCCTTCTTTTGCCTCAACTGCTTGATGAAGTCCATCACTCCAGCGTCTTCCCTGTGAAAAGAAAAAAAAAATCCGGTGACCTAATATGAAGATAGATAGATCGTAGTCATGGTTATTAGGGACAAATTTTTTGCACATTAGCAAGCACCTGATAAAGACAATTACCTGCATTACGCGACCAGTGAATTCATCCACGATAAGCACCTCCTTTCCCCGAATGATATAATTCACATCTCTGAGAAAGAGCTCTTTTGCCTTAATGGCATTAAGAACATATGATGCCCATTGTTCACGAGGATCATATAAATCTTTTACATCTAAAATTTCTTCTGCATCTTCATAACCCTGTTCAGTAAGTAAGACACTCTTCTGCTTTTCATCAACCTGCATGATCAGAAAACTTCTGTGAGCAGGCAAACTCCGTGAGAGACCGATTGCAACTATCACTTCATATAATTTTGCTATAAAAGCTAGATTGAGCAATCCTACAGTGTAATGTATATCCCGCTCAAAGGCTGAAGCAATCTTTGCAGCTTTATAATATCGGTCACTAGGTTTCTCTGCAGGCCCAGAGATAATTAGAGGAGTCCTTGCTTCATCAATAAGTATGGAATCCACCTCATCAATAATACAATAATTGAAATCCCTCAAGACAAGCTCCTCCACATTCTGCATATCCAGTAATGAACTCAGCAAAAGGCATTTAAGCAAGTTTGTATTATCCAAAATGAAAGAAGATTATAATGCAAGAATTACTTTCCGTGGCAAGATTGTCTCTTAGATAATCAAAACCAAGCTCACTATTCGTGACATAAGTGATGTCACATAAGTAATTTTCCTTTCTTTGTTCAGGTGTCATGTTCTCTGCCAAAGCAACATAATGTGTCAAGGATTTGAAACAGGGAAAACCATACGTCAAATATATAACGATGATCATATCGACCTAATCAAATATTGGTTTCAACTTCAAACTTCCAACTGATAATGAAATGAAAGAAACAGAGAAAGAAAAAGGGGTACAAAGGACATGGAGCAGGAAACATACGTTGGATTAAGCCAACCTTCAATCCAAGGAAACGTGGAACTTGACCAACCCACTCACAGTCACGCCGAGCCAGATAATCATTGACTGTTACCACATGAACACCCTTCCCACTTAATGCATTCAAATACGCTGGTAAGATAGCGACAAGGGTCTTTCCTTCACCAGTTCTCATTTCAGCTATTTCTCCTTTGTGAAGAACCATGCCACCTGCATGACCCAGAAAGCTTAACAACATGACAAAAAATTTTCTTCCAGACGGCATTTGACTATAATAATGCAGTACAAGGACATTGAAGCGTTGACTAACACTGAACCAAAAAAATTGTTCCTCGGTATCAGATGAATTCAAGGCACTCCTCAGTTTAGCAATGACTTCATCTTGGGCAGGACCCTGAGAAACGGGCAAGGACAGACGGCTTATAATAGCTGTTTAACATTTCTAGTCCAAACTAACATGCCAAGATAAGACCGCTTTCTGGGTTGTTCACCTTTTCACAAGAATAGGAAAGCCGTTCCTCTGCTTCAAGCTCAGTTAATGATCTCTGCCCCCAAGCCTTCACAGCTAATTGTACAGCTTCCTCTGTGAGCTTTAATTTCTCGTTTGACAGTTTGCAAGGAAATAACTTCTCACTCACCTGAATAAGGGAATTTCAAGGACAATTAGCTGGGCATTCCTATTTAATTTGCAGTTTAAAACAGAAAGACAAATGACCTTTTTGACGATCCAATGGAAGCCGGAAAAACTGGAGAAACTTAGCACAGCATGTAAAGAATTCTTTGGAGAGTTTCAAAGAAAAAGCATATACAAATCACGTTTTGACGGAAAGGAAATGGTGATACAAAACTGTGAAGATCAAGATCAGAAGTATTGCAGGAGACTGTCAGATTTATCAACTGAGACAAGCATGCATAAGCAAAAGTGACCTGAATCCAACTATTCATAATGGGTTTAAAGCTAGACCCTAGAGTCGAATTGCATCTTTCACCAAAGTAATCGATCAGAAAACGCTCCACAAAATTTGAATTACCTATCAACTGCACATCGAAAGGTCGGAGTCCGAGAACCCTCTTGGAAGCCTCTCTTACAACAGCAAATGCTTCCTGAAATCGAAATTCCAAGCTTCAAACTAAAACCTAGGAATCGAAGATCAAACCGAGAAGACTAAAAGAAGAACAGAAGAAATTTACAGGCAAGAGGGAATCCAAGGATTCCCCTTGCTGAGCACGCTGCTTCAACGCATCAGTCCTTCCCCTCAACTCCGAATCCGACAAGGCCGCGATCTCCGGTTCTATCCGATTGACGGAAGCGACGACGGAGGCGTATTGCTGCCTCGTCGACTCTCCAGTATCAGTCCCTTTGAAAATCCCAGTCAGAAGACCACCCAGTGAAGCACTCACGCTCAAGCTCCTCTTCCGCCGTCTCTGCGAGCAGCTACATCCAGGTTTCCCCAAACCCGCACCGGAATCGAATTTGGCACCCCAAAACGGTGAGCTCACGCGGCGGTTCTGCCGCCGGGATTTTCCATCAGCGATCACGAACTGAGAAGCTGAGAGCGAGATCGAAGGGCGGTGGTATAGCAACGGCGAGTCGCAGAGGTGCGACGCCATCTCCGACAGGAGAGTTGAGGTTGGGTTTTTGGAGCGTTTTGAGTGAAGCGAACGAAGGAATCGGGACGTTGGAGATAAGGTGAATGAAATGACTTTATTACCCCCCACAGAAAAACTTATGGACGAGGCGCAGTCCGGACTTCGGAGCATACTTGTCAGCATCAGATTTATTTATTTATTTATTTTAATTTATTTCCATCAAGAAAACTCATGAACTGAAATTAGAATCGTACACAAAAGATCCACCTTATTGTGTTCTTAGACAACAGAATCAGCTCAGGAAAACAAAAAATGTCAGATACAGAGAGAGTTAGGGCAAAATGTAGGATCAATGAGGAAGAGGGAGACAGTACCAAACAAAAAATAAAAGGGCAGAGAGTGGTGACGGTCTCTGTTTTTTTTTTTTTGTATTAAATGGGGGGTTCGGGAGGAACCACTTTCAAAGAGCGGATCCATTCGCAGAAGCTGGGATCATCAAAGTTTATAAAACTGCTCTTTAGCTTTGTCCTTTGCTCCCCCGTCAACCTTCTTATCTGCGGAAATCTCGCCTCCTGCACGTTTACCAATTTTCCGTTCACCCAAATTCCAAGAATCAAGCGTGAGATCACAGTTTTTTCCTGTTGATTTATCGGAGATGGGGTTACCTGCTCATAAGGAGGATCTTTATGTGCTGGTATCAGCCGACATACGAAATACCTAGCCGGGGAACTTCCCTCCTGTGTTCCACAATACCCAAATGGTTTCAGCCCAGAAAAATATATCACGACTAGGAGAAAAAACAAGTGTGCAAATCACAAGTGTTTAAGTCGTTTCGGAAACTGATATTTGAGAGTTATGCATGTGAGAATTTCGAGGTATTCAGACAGGAGGATGGGACCTTGAATGCAAGGATGCGAGGAGCTGGAAACCGGAATTCAGTTAGTTCTTCGGCCAGCGTTCTGCACGCTGCTAAAGCTGCAGCGCTCTTTCCTTCGTCAGCCGAAAGTTCGGCTCCCTGTTACCGTCCAAAAAAAGATAGATCGATGTAGTAAGATCATGGAAAATGAAATAATGGATTGATACTGAAGAGATGATGAAGACAATGAGAAAAACGTACCAACCAAATGAACACATCTGTCCCATGGTCCAGAACAACTGCCTTATCGGATTGCATGGCGAGATCATATGTCGGTAGCTCCTCGAACGTGCCTCCTTCTCGGTGCATCAAGCAACGGGGTGCCACCATACGGAGGGACAGATCGAAAGACGCGTTCAGAAACAGATCCCGAAGCACAGATCTTTCATCTTCATGCCCAATGATGCTTCCTAGTAACGGCCCCCTCCTAAGGTGGAAGAGGAGTTCCGGAAGTAAAGGGAGTTCCTTAGGAAATCGAAAAAGCTTCGACTTTGGCACTTGGGACCCGAATTTCAGAGCAATGTCTTTTATTCTTTCGTCTATGGTGGCTCGCATATCGATTGCATCCTTCTGGTTTTTCGCTCGTAAGAGTGTTCTCTTGGAGATAAGAACCGCAGAAACTTCGTCCTGAACGCTCTGAAGATATGCTGAGATACTGTCAACGGTGGGTAGTCTGAAGGTAATAACCCTAGTCACATCAGCTTGATAAACATCCGAATAATGGAAAGCAAACTGGAAAAAGACGTGATCGCTTTTGAGGTCCCTCTTATTCTCCATCAAGAGAGAGAAGCTTTGCGTTTCCTCGACACTTAGCATCTGAATACAGAGTGCCGCATCGTTCTTGAATGTTTCATGAGTTTCTGGATGAGCTTCTTCACCAGGTCCCACTACTTGGGTTATAAGAATATCGTCCGAACATCGTACCTCCAGCCGACCTAGAGAACCCGCTGCCCTAATTGCTGCTCTCTGCAAGTTCACACCAAAGGCTTCGCCAAAATCATCATGGAGAACCAAAACACCACCTGAAGCTTTTGCAAGCGGCTGCAGGACAGGAACCCTAAGCGGGCAAGTTCCAGCGCATAAAATGTCGACTACGGTATTATGTCTGTGGGCCTCACGCCCGAAATTCTCCATCCATTTCATGGCTTTCTTTTCCATGTATGGATAATTTGGATGAGACATGGAATGGGGCACTGATCCCGGGCCATAGGTACATGGTCCACCAGCGCATACGATGATTCTACTGTTACCTCCGGCTCTTCTGACAACTCCACGAGACATTTCAGCCGATGGCCCTTGAATTAAGGCCATAGCAACCTCGACAGCAGTTCCCAGACACCTATCTCTCGATGCTTCCGGAACATCCAACTTATATGGTCTTAAGGACGAGAATATCTCATGAGCTACCTTTAGCGATGAATGCATTGGCGACAAGTATACACCAGTACCGTAAATCAGAGATTTCAATGACTCTTCAGATGGTGATTGGGCACCCGAGAGCACATCAGCAGATGCCATGGATTCTTCAGAGAAATCATATACCGAAACAGTACGGCCATACAATACAATCCCGAGTCTTGTGGTCTGCGGAAGCGACTCTACAAATGCATGCAAAGAGCTCTGCAAGTGCTGGAGGTGGGGTTCATCTAAACACTCGTCAATAACTAGAACGACGGGTGCAGACATCCGAGAATCAGTAGCAGGAACAAAACCAGGTCTTCTGTTTCCTGTCTGAACATAATCGACCAGAGGCAACGAAAGCTCTGGCAAGTTTCGCAATTCCTCCGTGCTGGAAGCCACATATTCACCTTTGCTTCCATTAAGATTCTGGCAGATGATGCACTGCCACTGGCCTGAACCGATTAATATGGAGCAATAGGGATTTGAATATGCTCCACAGTTTTGACAGCGATGAGGATCACGTTGGATGATCTGTGGACCAGGACCGATCTCCCTCCCTGCAGAAACTATGGCTCCAAACCCTAAGCTAGGGACATTTGCCAGCTTCTTCTGTTTCAAAACCTGTTTGAATATAACAGAACGACCTGAAGCTTAAGCAAACTGTAAACGGACACTTGCTACAGCTGATTACAGATAAATACGATATACATAGCCAGCAGTCAGAAGGTTAGAACACTGAGGATCGATCAGAATGCACGAGGGAACAAACAGCAAGTAAAATTGACTGAAACACACAAAATTACGATACCTTTTGAGCCGAAAACAAAACATAAGGTGATTCTGCAGCCATTGGTTCTTCCATGTGAATAACGTCTGCAAACTCATTCTGCATTCCGGCTGAACCGTTTGAATAATTGGAAGGTGAAGATGTAGGCAAAGAAGAAGATACGGCAGATGAGTATGCCACCGGCTGAGGAGTGGCCGGGGAGGTACGGAAAGGAACAGCAGCTGGTCTGACTGGTGTGTTGAAGACTGGAGGGCCAGGCGGAGTACTCAGATGAGGAAGGGGACTTCCTGTTCTGACACCATTATCAGGCAACATCATAGCCGGTGTTTTCATCGAAGGGGAAGGGATCTGATCTTGTCTGAAACTCGGCATAGGAAACCTAGGAGGTGTGGCCAATGTTGCTAAGGAAGGAGAATGAGGAGGCGGACTTCTATCCGGTTGAGGTGATGCTCTATCTGCTTCTGAAGGAGAGATAGGAGTCATAGGACCCGGATACCTGACCGAGGGCTGCCGTGAATTAGCCATTGGAATCCCAAATTTTGCTGCAGAAAACACAACAATTCAAACAAACCAAGATCATAATCTACAATTTAAACAGCTTTGCACTATCCAGATCAAACTCAGCTCAAGATGCTTCAGAGAATTTCACAGAACAATCCTCGATATCCTAAGTTTTACCCATTGAAAGCACACTAATTAGACAAACAAAGCAGATAAAATCAAAACTCAAACAACCCATTCACAGAATCGCAGTTCGAATGAACCCAGTTCAGAAAATAAGCCAGAGAATTGTAAACTCGCCTTCTAAGAGATACTAACCAAAATTTCACCAGTTCGTTTCCTCCCCTTCCTTGATCACATCCACTACCTAAGACATGAAATCCAGATCCCTGCCGCCGGAAAACCCGATCTCCGCCTAAATTGCTGCTCAACTGAAACTTGATATCTCCCCGTCACCGAGTTTCTGACAGCAAAAGCAAGAAGAAGGCCCAAATTAACAGAAAATAAAACCCAAATCGCATTATTAGGCAGAAAATCTAGGGTTCTAAGTCCGGCAAAAAAGAAAAGAAAACTGAAGCGGAAACGTAAATCGCCATACCTTAATCGATGTGAGAAGATCGAGAAATGGGGAGACAGAGTTGAGTCTGTAGACAATTTTTTGACTCGCCTTGAATTCTAGCTTACGATCTCTGGCTCCTCCCCCCTCCAGTTTTTTCCAGGGAACATTTTTTTTAATGCGACGCGTGGCATATATGTAAATATTAGCAATTTACGGGACACATTTAAACTTTACCGATCATTTCCATTTCTTTTTTTGCCTCCGCCACTTAACTGTATGCCTCGCTGGCATTATCCTCGCTTCTGATTGGTGAGGGCGTCTAAAACCAGCACAGAGGGTGACGTGGCAATCGGACGACGTCGTTTGAAGAATACGGGTATTCAACGAAGCGACGCCGTTTAACTAAGAGCTGTAGTTTTCGTACAAGGATCATGTTCAAAACGAGAGATTCAAATGTAAGAAAAAAGACATAAACGTTAATCAAAACTAGTCCAAAAATATCACCTAAAAATTAGTCTTAAACAATATTAGATAAACATTATTATGCTCAAGTTACAAAATCATGTATAGAATAAACAAATAAATACATTGAATTAACGAATACCGAGCCTAATTCAAATTTCGTATTAAATTCGTAGGTCATAATCAGATACAACGTTTACAAATCATACCATTACAAACATGCCCCGACAGAAAAAAAAAAGTATTCTCTAACAAAAAAAAAAGGTTCAAAATCAATGGGAAGCGGTCAAGTGAAGCTGAACGAGGGAAGCGTAAACGCCTCCTTCGATGTGAATCAAGCTGTCGTGTGTTCCCTTCTCGGCGATGACGCCATTCTTGACGACGGCTATGACGTTAGCGTTCTTGATGGTGGAGAGGCGGTGGGCCACCACGACGGTGGTCCGGTTCACCATCACCCTGTCGAGCGCGTCCTGAACCACGCGCTCCGACTCCGCGTCCAGAGCGCTCGTTGCTTCGTCCAGAAGCAATATCTTCGGCTCCTTCACGATGGCTCTTGCTATCGCCACCCTCTGCTTCTGCCCTCCCGACAGCTGAATCCCTCTCTCCCCGACCACCGTCTCGTAACCCTGTTCGCCATTTTCAGAGCTCAAGTTCAGTTTCTATGCCTTGCTCTGTTTCAAAGATTCGTTTTTTTTTTGTGCCCATTACCTGTTGCAGGGCAGAGATGAACCGGTGGGCATTGGCGAGCTCAGCTGCTGCCACGATCTCTGCCTCGGTCGCATTTGCGCCGCCTTTTCCATACGCAATGTTGGCTCGGATGGTGTCGTTGAACAGGACAGGCTCTTGCCCGACAAGCCCCATCTGTTGCCTTAACCATCTCAGTTGAAGCTTCTTGAGTTCGACACCGTCCAGAGTTATATGACCTGAATCCGGATCATAGAATCTCTGCAACAGTGATATCACCGTCGATTTCCCCGACCCGCTCTCCCCCACCAGAGCCACGGTCTGAAAAAGGACAGATAAATGTATGAATGAGCATGGCAACGGTCCCGTTCTAATTGTTCTTGAGGCAAGAAGATGGAATTTTTAGAGATTATACGATTGATCACCTTTCCGGCACGAATACTCAAGCAGAGATCACGAAAGATGTGAATATCTGGTCTAGCTGGGTAGACAAAGCTTATATGACGAAGCTCGATATCCCCCTTCACGTTCTCAAGAACTGTCCCAGATTCATGACTCGGATCTATCTTCGATTTCCTGTCGATGATTCCGAATATCGAAGCGGCTGCAACCTTGGCTTTGCTCGAATCAGGAGCGAAAGAACTCGACTGAGAAATCCCGATTGCTGCCATTGTTAACGCAAAGAACACCTGCGGATTTCGATCACGTGTCAGAATTTCAGGACAATGTTAAGGAACAGCAAGCCAGTGATCTCTCTCATACTGACCCGGAAGACATCGTTCATGGTGGTCTTGCCATCCTCGACAAATCTTGCACCGGCGTAGAAACTGGTTGCGTAGACTGAAAACAGAATGAAGAAGGAAACCCCAAACCCTAATCCACTGATGACACCTTGCTTTATTCCGGCTTTGATGGGACCTTCGCATTGCTTCTTGTACATCCTCATGACTTTTTCCTCCGCACAGAATGATGCCACTGTTCTTATGCTCCCCACTGCATCGTTAGCTACTTGACTCGCTTCCTCGTACTTTGTCTGAAAACGTTTGCATGTCCGTATCAGTTGACATATACATACGCTTATACACAAAAAAAAAAGATATATACCTTAGCGTCAGCGCTGAATCCTTTCAAGAACTTGACTTGAACGTAACCATTGATGCCGATAAGAGGGAGCATGACCAAGATGATAAGGGCCAACTGCCAACTGGCTGTGAAAGCTATGATAAGACCGGCCGCAGCAGATGTAGCGTTCTGAACCGCCAGAGACAACGCATCTCCGACCAGAGCCCTGATCATGGCTGCATCGGCCGACAGCCTCGCCCCAATCGCACCGCTCGAGTTCTGCGGCTCGTCGAACCACCCGACCTCCATGTGAACAACCTTTTCGAAACACATCGACCTTATCCTCCTTATCAGCTTTCCCCCTGCCACCGCGAACAAGTACGTCTGAGCTGGCGACGCTATCACCGACGCTATTCCAAGAACCAAGAATATCATCGCCCAGAATCTTGAATCCTTCTTCAGTTCTCGAGGCGGCTTGAAGAACGTCTCGATCACACTCGAGATCAGAATCCCGAAGATCGGGAATATCATCCCTTGTACTGCGGCTGCTACAGTTCCGAGGAGAAGCACGGGTATTTCTGGCTTGTTTAGAGCGGCGAGTCGCTTCAGCGAGACATTCGGGGCTTGTTCTCGAGGTATTGTAGCCTTCTCTTGGTCGGCGTCACCGACGTCTAGCCCAGCCGGTACGCCCAGAATGGAGAAAGAATGGTGTCGGCTGCTGTTTCCTACCGATGATCCGCGGCTGATGGAACGGCCAAGAGACGGCTTTCTCAGGCTTGAATTCCGGAAAGATCCAGAAGAAATCTCCGATTTGTTGGAATCATTCTGATCTTTGTTTATCTCCTGCAAGCGTATGAGCTGAGAGTAAGCCCCCTCAGGATCCTTGAGTAACTCCGAATGAGTACCCTTTTCCACCATTTTCCCGTGATGGATAACGGCGATCATGTCAGCGTTCCTCACCGTGCTCAAACGATGAGCCACGACGACAGTGGTCCGGTTAACCATGACCCTGTCTAGCGCCTCTTGAACCACCCTTTCGGATTCCGCATCGAGAGCACTCGTCGCTTCATCGAGGAGCAGAATCCTCGGATCTTTTAGGATCGCCCTCGCAATGGCAATTCTCTGCTTCTGTCCGCCCGAAAGTTGTGTTCCATGCTCTCCCACCATTGTATCAAACCCCTGAGGCAACTTATCGATGAACTTTGCGGCATTTGCTAGTTCTGCCGCCGCTTTTATCTCTTCCATCGTCGCCTTCTCCTTACCATATCCGATGTTGTCCTTAATGCTTGAACTGAACAAAACAGGTTCTTGGCTGACCAACCCGATTTTGCTTCTGATCCATTTCAGCTGAAAATCCTTCAGGTTAACACCGTCCACCAACACTTCCCCTGCTTGTGGGTCGTAGAATCTCTCGATCAAGCTAATCACAGTGGATTTCCCGCTTCCGCTCTGCCCGACCAGAGCTGCGGTGGTACCGCTCGATATGAACAGAGAGAATCCGGTGAATATTTGCTCATCCGGTCTCGCAGGGTAACTGAAGTACACATCCTTCAACTCTATGTCCCCTCTTACATCCTCAAGAACTTTCCCGTTTACGTCGTAGGAATCAATCAGAGGCTTTCGCTCGATAGTCTCGAACATCTTATATGATGCTGCTTGACCAGCGGCAAATGCGCTCAGACAAGGCGACGTCTGTCCCAACGACCTGAACGAGACAAAAGTCAGATACCTACAGTTAGCTGAAACGGGCAGCAGGTACAGAATCAGACTGACAGGGATGAAGAGAACGAACTAACATTGAACCAGTCACCACAGCAATGATCACGTTAATCACTGCCCCGCCAGTATACCCCTTTTCAAGAATCATCTTTCCACCGAACCATATAGCAAGGGCGTAACTTCCGAAGAAAACCAGGAAAAGAACTCCCAGACCAAACCCAGTTGAGAAGCCTTGTTGGACGCTCGATTTGTATGCAGAAAGAATGAACTCGTTGTAGTTTCTTATCGCTTGCCTCTCCCCCGTGAAAGAAGCCACCTGAAACGGAAAGAGGAAACAGAGTTCAGTATGGTTTTTTGAAGCACTAAAGCTAAGATTTTTTGTAAGAGAACATGTCATGTTTGGTGTTGGGTTTACAGTTCGGATAGAGCCAATTGTCTGTTCAACAACAGTTGCTGCTTTTGCATAGGCGGCCTGTCCCCGAGAAGACGTTCGAGAGACTATGATAGCTATGGCTGCACCTGCCATGGCCAGAAGAGGAATAGATGATAACATCACAAGAGTGAGCAGCCACCCTTTGACAAACGCTACAGCGAAGCCTCCAATGAAGGTAGAAATCAACTGAATAAACTTCCCAACCTGCATAATCCATGAAAGTTAACCACTTTGGAGATACATACATACATACATATATGTATATGTTCTCTCCATAAACGTTGCAGTGGCCCTTACCTTCTCGCCCATGGCTTCTTGTATAAGAACAGTATCTCCAGACATTCGGCCAACAACCTCACCAGTGTTGGTTTCAACGTCAAAGAAAGCAATGTCCTGTCTCAGAATCGTCCTCAGATACAAACTCCTTATTCTTGCAGCCTGTCTCTCTCCAGTGATCATCCAACATGCCACCTCTAATGGAAGTCAAACCCGAAAACTCTGTTCATCACTTCTTTGTTCCTTACCTTATCCCAAATCAAATGTGAAAGTAAACGAAGAAGAACTTACCAAGAAAAGCCGCTGCTAGCGTCCCAAGACCCAGGTACACGAATTTCAGACAAACCTACAAAGAAACTTAATGAGAATCGTCCAGCCCTGTCGAGATTTGTTTTTTTTTTTTTGTAATAAAATTACCTTGGAGACAATGTCGACTATGTCCTTGTTGTTGTTCTGGTTTTCTCCAAAAGAATCTATCAGGTCACCGAAGATTACTGTCATTAAGGGCATGCAGACGCCATTCCCAATGGCTCCAATCGTGCCGAAGATCATCAAGAACACGTCCATGGAGTCTGCAAATGCAAACAGTTTGTAGAAGGGGACGACAGCCTTTGTCTTCTCCTCGTCTTTCCCATTCTTCATCTCTTTTTTTTCTTCTTTCTCTTCTTTGGTGTTTTTCGATGTTGAAGCTTCGTGTGAAACAGAGTAGCCATTTTCTCCGTCGTCAAGTTTCATCGTATACCAACTGATTCACGGCTCGTCTGCGTGTACACACACGGCTACAGAAAAAAACAAAATCAGGTGTCCATAAGAATCGATAAGGGTTTTTTTTTCCCTCGTAAAACAAGACAACAATCGACAAGTTTTTCCTCTTTGAGATTTGGGTCTAAACCCCAGAAAAGCTGAAGAACAGAATACGGAGAGAGTGGGAAAAAAGGTGGAAGCTTGCAGATGGGGATTTAAGGAATATGTGTCGATCACGAATTCAGAAAACATATGTGGGGCAGTAGGGAATTTGTTCCAAGGTGACTCATTTTCTGGTGCAAAGCCAAAAACCCGCTTTTAAAAAGACGCCCTCTTTTATTTTCTCTCTGCTTTCTCGCGATCCAAACAGTACCACCCAGAAATACCACCAATCGGAACCCCGCGTATTTCAAGTACGCGTCGTACCAAAGATCGAAACTTGGATAAAACCCAGCAGCAGGACAAGAAAAAGAAAGGGGAAAACAAACCTGAAGATGAGAAGCTGCGAAATGGGAAAAGCTGGAAGCTTTGGGAACGAGAAAGCGTGCAGCAAATCTTCTGGGGAAACCCCTCTTGAAATTCTATATTCCGCTTTGTATTTGCAGCAGAAAATATGATTTTTTTTGCCTAATTTATAAGCAACATTTTCTTCTTGTTTTTTTTTTCCTTGGAAAATTTGCTTGCAAAGCAAGGAGGAGTATACGAATAGAATATTGAAAACAAAAGAAGCTTCGTTCCTTTCTCAGCACATACATACATACAGCTTAATTTATAAGTTTCGAGTCAAAAACAGTATTATTATTATTAACCAACTTTGATTTTTCCTGATTTTTTTTTTTACTTTTCCACCTGAATTTAGTCTCTTTCCACTGTAATAACAAAAAAAAGTCAAAAATATAATTAATAGGGAAACTGGTTTTTGCATCCGTCGTTATGATAAAATCCCTTCGAAGTAACGTTAATCTGTATTTAGCCTTTTACACTCATAAAAAGTGTCCAACAACATTGTAAACTTTATTTTATATTTTTCGAGCTAGTTTTTTTTATAATGAAAAAATGGGGCTATGACGAATGTAATTACATAACCAACGTGCTGAAATTAATGGGATTTCACCGTCCGAAATTGGATTACTTCCTTGGTATCCAAGCATAAAGTCAAACATACAAATTGCATAAAAACAAATGTTTGGTTCCATACATATACATGTATATATATATATATATAATGGCGTTTAGTCAAAGACCTTCAAACCCTCATTCCTTAGTCGGCAAGAGATCATTTATGTGTGTGTATATATATATATATGCAGTCGATTTTTGTGACGAATCTCACCCATATGCAAATAATTTTCGTTTGAATCATGTTATATATATATATATATATATATATATAACATAAATAGTCCCAAAAAACTAATAGTCCTATAAAACCTCCCGCAAAATGTGATAAAAGGGTATTGGACCGTAGAATGTGGATAAAGAATTATTGTTGCTAAACATTCGTCTATTTGTGTTGTCTTGTATAAAAGGAATATGTTAAAAAAATTTGATGATTATAAGATAAATTATTCCCAAAAGCTTTCCAACCAAATCAAAACGAACGATTAAACTGTTAAAGGGCAACAAAAGATCTTGTTTTTCAAACTCGTTTTACTATGAAAAATAAAATATCTCTTTACTTAAACCATATGATTCGATCGATGAGCATCTTTAATTTAAAAAAAAATATATTAATTTAAGGCCTCCTGTTTTCGTGAAATCAAGAATCCAAGACTTGGGAACACAGACGTCACTGCTTGCATCAGCACACGATCACAGCAGAGCCGGGAGAATTATCCGGGATTTGAATCGAATTAAAATTCAGCTAATATTTGGCGAGGGTGGGACCCACTGATTTCATGCGTTCCCATGCTGTATGTGTATTTTTTTTTAATAACGGAGGACCCCTACCGCTACCCTTCGGATGCGCTGACCAGGTAAAACTCTGGTCCGGAAGCAGTCTTTGTATATGGATCATATAAACCCAGAAATTACCTCCCTTTCCATCAGCTAGGAATCGAACACTCAACTTCAAAGTGTAGTTATTTCCTACCCAAGTTTGACCACTCGCCCATGATCGGTTGCCGGTTGGGTTGTTTTTTTTTTTTTGACAACTCCGTTTATCGTATTTTTGTTTGAATAATTAGTCGTTGCCCAATTTATATTATTTTTAACATTCAAAAGCACGTATGCGTATCAACACCTCTGCAATATTTTGTGTAACTATTATAATGATATCCACAACATTCTATCGATAATAGAAACTCGATTATAACTAAATATTTTAATTGGTATTCTACGTTTAGTTATTTCGTTACGGTCCAAAGATAAATTTATTAGAAAAAAAAAACACAACAAACAAAATAAATTTTTTTTTATGGATATAAATAATCAAGAGGAGTGTGACGAACCGAAAATAAAATTTATGGGCTTTGGACTCTTGCAGAATGCATGAACGGGCCATACGCTTTCTTTTCTGGATGGGCTTTATACCATTCGGCCTGTTTCGGTATTGGAATTTCAAGGATCTTCTCCTGAGCCCACGATTTTCAAGCAGATAGTTTTTTAAAAAATAAAATAAAACCTAATGGTGATGCTATTTTACTTTTTTAATGTTATAATGTTTTGAAAACAATATATTATAAAATACAATGAGAAAAAATAGGGGTGGATTCGTTTGGTTTTGCCATTATAAACATTGATTTTATATGAATTAGTTTACACAATCAAGATTAATTTTTACTATGATCCATATAATATAAAAAGTGGTTTTCGGTGAAAACTAGCTGTGAAATTATCGAGATATTATTCGGTATTATCTGCCATATACCAACGTTAGATCATCTTATATAATTTAGGAGGATAAGTAAACAGATTTGTACGTGATAATGACATATATTATTCGTTTCGTTTTACACAATTTTAGAAGTATGGAAGAGTAAATACTTCGGATTTTTTAATTAGAATTCCATTATTTATTTATTTATATTGTTGTTATAAATCTTTTTTTTGTTAAAAAAACGATGAGCGAGAGAGATTTGCCTTCTAAGACGTCATTATATCAAAAATATCATTTACTTTGCTATTCTTCAATACATATTTTTCTCCAATTGTGACTATAGATATAATATAGATATAAAATATAATGTGATCACATTTTGATTTTATTGATTATAACGTTAAATTTTTTGTTACGATAGAGATTCGCCTTTTTAAGGCTCACTCGAAGAATCAAATCAAATCATTTGAATTTTGAGGAAACACGGAGCCAACTTTATCATTACTTTAATCGTTACATATATAATTACATTGAGTCGTACGAGATATAGTTGGATGTCTATTTCATACGTGGCATGTGGGTCCCTTCATATCAAACTACTATATAAAAAAATGTTGGCCCCCCCAAAAAAAAAAAAAAAAAAAAAAAAGAGTCACTCCCACATTTTCTTGGTCTTCCCCTTCTACTCAGAAGAAGAAAAACCCGAAAGGCAAATAAAGTATCTCCTTTTGAGCTTTGGGATCATACCAAAGCCAACAACTCATTGATTTTCTTGAATGGAGGATGAGCCTCTCCTCCTCTCCCAATCACGTTTCCACCTCCGCCCCATACCAGAAAATTCCTCCGCCGCCTCTGCAATCACCACCCACTCGATCTCCCCTACAATCTTCTCGCCGGAGGCTGTTCAACCCCATGACCGTATTCACGAAGAACCCCACGAACGATCCGAGACTGACCCGGAATCGCACGCCGGAGCTCCGGTCTTCCTGAAATCGAGGTCGCTTCACCGGTGCCGGACTGCTCCGGCGATGGTTGTCATCAAAGACCTCCGATCCAAGACGACGGGAGGGAGAAAACCCTCTCCCGTCTCGAAATCGATCATCAAACAAGCGATGATCTTGCTGGTTGTCTACTTAACCCTCGGAGTTGCTATCTACTCCTTCAACCGTGACCATTACTCCGGCGTCGAGACCCATCCCGTCGTCGACGCGCTCTATTTCTGCATCGTCACCATGTGCACAATCGGCTATGGGGACATCGCGCCGTTAACTCCAGCGACTAAGATTTTCGCCGTCGTGTTCGTCTTGTTCGGCTTCGGGTTCCTGGATATTCTCCTCAGTGGGGTCGTGAACTACGTGTTGGACCTTCAGGAGAGCATGATCCTGACCGGAATCCAGATGGGTTCGTCGAGGAATCGGGAGAGGTTCTCGGCGAGAGACTACATAGTGGATGTGGAGAAGGGTCGGATGAGGATAAGGCTGAAGGTGGGTTTAGCGTTGTGTGTGGTCGTGTTATGCATCGGAGTGGGATCTCTGGTTCTGTTCTTCGTGGAGAGATTGGATTGGGTGGATTCGGTGTACTTGTCGGTCATGTCGGTGACGACGGTCGGGTACGGGGACAGGGCGTTCAAGACATTGGAAGGGCGGCTCTTCGCGGCGATCTGGCTGCTCGTGTCGACCCTCGCAGTGGCGCGTGCGTTTCTATACCTGGCGGAGGCGAGGATCGACCGCCGTCACCGCAAGGCCGTGAAACTGGCTTTGCATAGAGACATTACGGTTGAGGATTTGCTCGCTGCTGATACCTATCAACATGGTTTCATCAGGTAAAAATGAAAGTCCAAGTCTTTATCAAAACCCATGAATGCATATGTCTGTATGCATAATCTCAGCTGAATCGTCTCTTAACACAGAGAATCTTGGGAATGAATCTAGTAACTGGAGTTCATTGATTGGATTGTTGGATGCTACTCCGTTTGATTCAATGGCTTCTAGTATCAAAATTGGCATTGCTGAGCACTTTATGAGGGAGAGTGGCTTAGTAAGCCCCTGATCTGTAGTTTTGATTGTTGGGATTATAAAATTGCAGAGAGTATAACACTGGATGTGTTTCCCATACAACCTATTTAGGATACATTCACACATACATGTGGTCATGAATCTCAACAATAAAGAGTTTTGCAAGAAACCTTTGGGGATTATTAGATCATACATCAGGTGGCAACCTTTGGGCATTTGCTGCCTTTGTCCTCAACAGTCCCGAAAACGATTATGCAGTCTGCCATTTCGTTTCAAGAATCAGTGTCTGATTGGATTTTGGATTAACCCGTGTTTGGTTTTGTGGCAGTAAGTCGGAGTATGTTATATTGAAGCTCAAGGAAATGGGGAAGATCACGGACAAAGACATAAACCAGGTGGTTAACCAGTTCCAGAAGCTGGATCCCAACAATTTGGGGAAGATCACATTGCCTGATCTGTTGGGGAATCATTTGTAACTCTTCAAAAAGAGGTTTTTTTTCCTTCGAAATCAAACAGACTACCGATTGATCGATACAAGAAGAAGACATAGCAATAGAGATTCTTGAGAGCTATGCAGAAGGATTGCAGGCAATACAGAGAAGAGAAGAGCGAAGGGGGGGTTGTGTCTGCAGTTAGAATGCGTTGCCATCTTTCATGAAAGGCTCTCCTCTGTAAAGATTAAAATCTAGACGTAAAGTTTTTTTTTACAGTGAATAAAACTTGCTATAGCCTATTCTCTCTATTCACTAACCAAATTCATTGAGAGGTTTAGAGATAAGCTGTAAGGAAAAGTAGATTAAGCGAGCGAAAGCGATACGCTTCCCACTTGAGGCTAAGAGCCAAGCAGCTGCAAATAGCAAATACCATAAATATGTAAAAGCTCATCCCGGAGACCGAAGTATAGCCGTACACTCATTATTTGCACTGTAAAGAGCAATAAAAAAGTTCAAGAAGAAATCTACGGTAATTAATGGAGGCCCAAGAACAACAACGAGATGCTGTCTTAACTACGGTTTCGGTTACTTTGGGCCAAAGGTACAAATGGGCTTTCAAAAAAGGCCCAATGGGCTGTGAGATTGGAGAAGTGGAACTGCAAAATGCGGTGAGCGTGGATCGAACACGCGACCTTCAGATCTTCAGTCTGACGCTCTCCCAACTGAGCTATCCCCGCTTGATGATGGAACCCTAAATATGTATTTATCTCAATTTTATTCATCAAAAGTTCAAATTACATCGAAACCCACGAAGGAAACAGCAGACAGAATCCAAAGATTAACTGAACTTAACATGTAAGATCACTAGATTTTTATTTTTTATTTTTTTAAAGATTCAAAGATCACATGAGATCCACAGTGGCTCGTCGATCTGACCCGTAAGCTTGTCACCATCCTGACCGTCCAAACTCAACCTAGTCAGATCCAGCTCATCATCCGCCGTGTGCCACGTGGGCGTCCCGTCCTCATACCCATTCCACGTCAACCTCCTCAGCCCCGTCCCGTCCACCCTCACCACGTACACCTCCCCGTACGGCTGAAACTGATTCGGCACCGCCACCGGCTCCACCGTCACTCCGCCGAGGTTCGCTGTGAAGACCAGCCACTCTCCGTCCTTGCTGAAGCTCAAATGGTTGATCCTCTCCCTCTCCGCCTCCTCCGACCCCTCCGTTCCCGCCACTTTTATCCTCCTCACACCGGACCCATCGGGCCTCACCACGTAAGCCCCGAACCCTTCCGTGTTCCCCTGATTGTGCCGGTTCGACGAGAACGCGATGAGATCGCCCTTCGGAGACCAGCACGGCATCGTGTCGATCCACGGCCCCTCCGTCAACCTCCGTATGCCGCCGGATTCGCCGGCGATGGCGTCGACTATGTAAAGGTTCTTGTGGCTCGATCGGCCAGATCGGAACACGACGGACTTTCCGTCGGGGGAGCAGGACGGGAAGGCATTGTTTCCGGTGTCTTCTTCGGTGAGGATCTTCACCTCACACGGAATCTCTTCTTTGTCGTCGGTGAGATCGGAGGGATCGAACTTGATGCGAGCGATCTGAACAGCTGTTTTCGCCGGATGGAAGATCGGGCCGAGGGATGTGTAGATGACGTGACGCTCCGTTGGACTCCACGAGTTGTAGAAGGCTGTGCGGTTCTTGATCAACGTCCATCGTTTCGATCCGTCTGATTTCACGACTTTGATGCCGCCATTGGCGTCAAAGTCGTGGTTGAAGGCGATCAGAGAACCGTCGGGAGACGGCGACGGGAATGACCCGTTGATTCTGAGCAAGCGGAGGTCCTTGACGGGAGACGTGATCGGTTCCAGGTTCGGAGCGATTGTCTCGCCCTGAGTCGACTCGCCGCGGAATCGGTGGTACCCGACAAACTCGGAATCGTGAGAGACGAACGGGTTGTAATGGTGGTAGCTCGGATTGAGTGATTCGGTCACCAGCTGAAACGTCTTATGCTCCAGATCGAAAATTTCTATGTGACGGTAATCGCGGCCGCGACGGCGAGTAGCGACGGCGATTCGTCTTCCGTCATGGAAAGTTGCAGGGGTGAAGCAATGTAGTCCAGGAGGTGTGACTCGAACCGGTGCGATTGGGAATCCGGAGAATTCCAGAAAATTTTCCGGCAGATCCACTCGGAAAATGCTCCACCAACCGTCTTCGGCCTGACGGTGAAAGAAGACGGCGGAATCGCCGGACCAACTGGGCCAACCGCCGTGCTCGCAAACCACAACCCTCTTCTCTGGCTCGGACGCTCTGAAAACAACAACATCGGTGTTCATCTCGTGAAACTCACCTTCCCAAGAGCGAGAACCGTACGACGCGACGGCAACGAACTCTCCCGATCGGGAAACCGCCGGGCTGTAATCGGCGGCGGAGGGCGGGGTTAGACGGGTGGGTTTCCGGTCTGAGCCAAGCTCTGCGGCGTAGAGGGCGGACCAGCTCTTGAAGTGGCAGTCAGGCTGCTCGTGAGCTGAGACGAAGTAGAGGCGGTTGTCCCTCACGACAGGACGGTCGTGAAAGAGGCTGTCCGGAGCGCCGGGGAGCTGTTCCGGAGTCGGATTATCTGGTCGGGTTCGGTAAACCCGGGCGGAAGCGGTTCGCTCGGAGACAAAGACGACGGAGTGACCGTCTCCGTCGGAGAAGTGGCCGTTAAAGTTGACGGAGACGCCGTCGGTGAGGCGGCGCTCGGTTGCGGAGGGGATGTGGAATGAGAAGAGGTCGAAGCCGTAGTAAGTGCGGCCGACTGTGGTGAAGATGATGGTGCCTCTCGGATGTTCCATGGCGTTTGCGTTTGAAACTATGATTGCGTTTGCTTTTGCGTTTGCGGTTGAGATCGAGACTGATTTGAGAATTGGAAGGGGGTGTGATGTGAATATATACTATATAGGAGGGGTGCAGTGGAAGCTGATACGGCGTCGTCTGTGGGTGTGAACGGAATAAGCCGTGCGTGCGTATGAGCTTACGTTACACAATCAACGACTGTCTTATCCAATTTGGATTTGGGTTCAGACGCCAGACTTTCATAACAAACGTACCATTTCGTACACCTCCATTATTTCATACTTGCCTAGTCATAGGTTACACCCCAAGCTTTTAACATTTGGCATGATTTTCTCTAAAAGATTAACAACAATAATATCTCACTTATCCGCATCCAAAGAAAAAAAAGAATCGTACCAATAAATCCTAACCAACTTAAATCAAGCCCACACACTCTGATACAAGGCCCTATGCTTTCAATCCCTCTTGTGTGTGTGTGTGTGTGTATAGGTGTAACACAAGACTATTACAGCTATGGCGCCAAGGGATGGTGCAGCATATATTCTTTAAACTTGAGGATAGGGTAGAGAGGGGATTCCAGCAAGAAGCAAGGTGTTCTCAGGAGAGATGCTGTGTGGAATATACTTGACGAGCTTCGACTCCAACCCTTGTTTCTTCACCCAACTCATCCTCCCGGCATCGATAATTTGCTTGCACTTAAACCCTATAACCGCCCGTTCCTTCGGCTCCATCTTCCTCACTATCTCCTCCACCCTCCTCCACCCATTCTCCCCTTCTTCTTCTTCTTCTTCTTCCCTCTTCCCACTGTGAAAAGACAGGGTGATGAATATGCATTGCCATATCGATGGAAAGTGGGGAACTTGGAAAGAAAATAGATGTGGGGAACCACATACGTTGATCCGAGGTCAGTGATTTCGGGAAGGTTGGAGCCGTGATCTGCATCTACAGCCCAGCTGGTGAGCCATGTCATCCCCAGGAACTCGTCTTTGGAAAACCCCATCTGGGTGAAGTATTCTTTATCTGTTACAAAACCCACATCATGATTTATATAAAAAATATGAGGAAGTTCTCCATGAATTCAGCTAAAGAAGTTTGTGTAAGGATTGGGCAGTAATGTATTACTTATGTAGTGTTTCCATTGGCAAAGGTGATGGCAACAGGTTGCTATGGCAAGGCCTCTCAGAGTAGAACTACTTCCATTGTCTTGTCTGGACAGACAACATCTTAGGCTCAAATCTATTTTCGCCCAACAAAAAATGAACTTCAATAAGAAAACATTCATTCACGATTACCCGAAAAATCTAAGGGTACAAATGTATGGGATCCAAAAAAGAACAAAAGTCTGAAGATATCAATTGATCATTTTCACTAACCCGTTGCAGGCCCACATAGATGTTTCCCGACAGCCACGTATGAAACTCCGTGTAGAGATTCAACAGCGTTCAGGTTCAAATCCTCGACTGGATTACACAAAAAAACAACGCATCTTTAGATGATTGCAAGAAATATTAAGAAAATTACAAGAAAGTCCTGCATCAAATACGAGGTTTGTGAAAACCTTACTGTCTATTCTTAAGCGCTCTAATACCAAGTTCTCCTTTTGTCGCAATGACCGGTCAGCCTACAAACAGTTAACAAATACATTTCAGAAAATGAACTAAAGTAATGCAAGAAAATGAAATTCGGACATCTTACCTTAAGCTTATAAGATTTTCTCTCGACTAAATACACCATTCTGATCCCATAGCAATCTACGAGCATCTGTGTCAAGTATCCTCTCCCGGCCCCGAACTCGACCACTGCAGCCACAGATTCGTCTTCCTGTTCAATATCGCTTTCACAACCTTTCACGTTCTTATATCTCTTCAGTGCTCCAATCTCCTCCAAGTTCCCGATAATGGAAGCTTGCTGCAAAACATGTTTCTCTTGAAACGGCAACTTCCTGCCCGAGATAATTAACACGTCTCAGAGAATTTCAGAGCTTGCTTTTCACTTCACAAAGCAAACCCAAGAACAAAAAGCTCCATAGTTTTTTCTCCATTTACCTATCTATCTCCTTCTTAATCCACATGTTACAAGCTTCCGGCAAGTTATACGAAACCTCTATATCCGTACATATTATACCATGAGCAGTCTCAATCTTTCTAATTAACTCGTAAAATTGAGAAACGCTCATGCTATAGAGCAGATTCCTCTTCATCTCTGAAGTAACAATACCATCCGGACAACATGAACCCTGCTTATCTCGTTCTTCTCCATCTTCTTCCCCAGCATTTATGCCCTTCTGGTAAAATGGTTGAGCAGACAAGGCCTCCACTTGTTTCAGTAAAGGACATCTCTTGACATGCCCTACGAGATTCTCTTGCAACACAGAGCTGCATAACCAGACCAAGATTCAAAACAGTGTCCAACAGACAAACAAGAAGGACACTACTTTCACTTAATACGAACCAAATCCGTTCAAAGCAATACATAAGGGTCACTCACTGAGAAGGGTCGATAGGGCACGGAATCCATTGGTCATCCGTCCTCTGGCTATGGTTGCCACAAAACCTGTTTGGTCACCGAGAAAATTAGCTTCTATCAAGTTTCATGGAAGGAAAAAAAAAACTCAACTTTAATCGGAACTCACACCGAATTACCGATCCGGGCATTCGAGCAGAATCTGTTCTTCTTCGGAAGCCAGAATTTGCAGCGAGTCTCGCCGTTCTCCGCCATTCTCTCTCAGCGAGTTCGCCCGCAGAAAGTTTCGGCCCTTTTTTCCTTCCTCTTTCTGGGAAAAGTTCGGACCCAAATCTTTCATTGGGCTTCATCGGCCCATTCTGAATTTTGGGTCAATTTCCGCAACCTCTATATACGCACATTTGTAAAACAAACAGAAAAACCCTCTCTCGCCATCTTGATCTCCGCGTTCGTAGCCCAAAGGGGCGTCCAAGGATTTTTTTTGTGTATGCACTAATAAAATAAACAAAAAAAATTGATATTTTCGGTATAAACAACGTTTGGGTCGATGGAATGAATGTTGTAAATTTCCATATCATATATATATATATATATGGTAATGTGGTATCGATTCATATGCAAGTGGAGGAAATTACACGTGGGTGGGTGGGCTTAATCTTTTATTGCAAAGAGGATTCTTTTTATATTAGAGGGACTGGACATGTGGCTGTCTCCAACTATTCAACTTCTTCCTCTTCCGCACTCCATTGTCTTCGTCCTTCCTCTGTTTGAAAAGGGAGAAAGCCCATAACACACACTCGAGGAAGAAGAAGAAGATGTCGGCGGCTGCCATCGTCTCTCTGTCGAATCCGAACGATCATGTCGCTCGCATCGTTTGCAGGAAACGACTATTCCATTGTCGGAATACACTACCCTGTTTCGGACACTCTTCTGTCTCTTCTTCTCCGGTGACGTCGCTTGCTTCTAGATTCTCCCTCAGGCTCCTCCCAAATAAGCCCTTCAATTCCACAGTCTTTAAAAGATCCACCACTGTCATGGAATGGCAAGAGTGCAAGTAAGCGAATTCCAAACCCTTCTCTTGAATCTTGATTGTTAAGTTTTGTGGGCTATTCAGATTCTGTCCTTTTGTACCCAAACTAGGGTTTGTTTGAGAAATCTCTGTTGAGAGTTCGATGAAATCGCAGTGTCAAGTTCAGTACTTGAGTTTAATGAATCGGGCCATTCTCTCTTTCGGGCCGACATAGCTGGCATTTAACAGTGCCGCTTTCATTTCGATGTGTAATGATCTTAGCAATTTAATCAGACAGTGTGTTCCCGATTCATTAAACTCCGAATTACAGTATCGGATTCGGATAATTTCCATTGCACGGAGAGGAAACATTGTCAAAGTCTGGTTCAAGTCACGAAATTTCTTCATTTTTGGAGAAATTGAGCTTGATAATCCAACTGCATCATTCACCATCTGATCGTTTTTCCTCAGCTTTTCCCAGCCTCGGGTTGATTCTTAAGTGGTTAATCACTTACTTCTTATGCTATCTTTTGGTGAATTTCAGAGTAAGGAAGGTGGTTGGCGTGCCTATATCAGTTGCTTACGAACTCTATTCTGACCGTGAATCCATTCCTAGATGGATGACATTCATATCATCTGTGGAGGTACATTGTCTGTTCCAAAAGCATGGGATGTCTTGTCAGATGATCAAGTTTGTGTTAAGAAGCCGGTGGAGGTGATATTCTGTTTTAGTTTCACAGGTGCTGAAGGACAAACCTGATCAATCTCGTTGGGCTTTGAAATATAAGGCGTTTGGTCAAAATATCGAGTATTCTTGGCTCGCCAGAAACTTGCAGGCAAGTGCCAAGACATAGTAGTTTTAAAAAATGGCTTCAATACTCTTTTGATTGGGTTTCAGACATTGTCTTGGAGACTTGAGTTATCTTATCGATAAAACATTGAACAGTTTCGGTACAAGGTTGTCTGGAATTCAGTAATGTGTTCCTTATATCTTGATTTCGTATAATTGTCTTTAGATGACGTTAACATTTATAACTTGCAGCCCATACGGAATCAGAAAATTCACTGGATATCACTCGAAGGCCTTCCCAACAAGTAAGAGAACTTGAATGAGTTGACTGTTGCAAATTTTGTATGATCCTTCTAGCCATATCACTACTTTTTTTAAGTTTTTGAAACCTTGAAGTTCTACGATGCGAAATCAAATCTCTCAAACTTTTGTTTTTGTTTTTGTCAAACTTTTCATTCTCTCTTTCGAATTTGATGTGAAGAGTTTGGATATAAACAGGGGCACCGTTCGGTTTTTCCCAAGAGGACCTTCATCATGCGAAGTAGAAGTAAGACTCCTTCGTTGATCTTTCCCCTATTACTACGTTTCAGTTACATACATCATGACAGAAATCTCATCTACTTTGATTTTTTTTTTCTGCAACTGTTCTGTCTTATTACAGTTGACGTTTGCGTATGAAGTTCCTCTTCTGTTAGTCCCATTTGCATCAGTAAGAGTTCTTTTCCTTTCCTTCGTACCATTGTTTGTTCTGGATGTTTGACTAAAAGATCTAACCGTGTCTTGTTCTTCCCTCCTTGAAGGCGCTCCAGCCGCTTATGCAAGGAATGATCCGACAAAGTTTGGAGATATTTGCAGAAATAGCGAAAAGCACAGCTACAAAGACCCCTTAAGGTATCACACTACAAAATCTTATTTCAAGAACTAAGTCACTTTTGGGCATGTCATATATCCTGAAACCGGCCTTTAACTTCGACCGGTTTTGCTGCAGTTCAAATTTGCTTGGTGAAAGCTCCAAGAATTCATCCCGGTTGCGAAAAATTTTCGACCCTTTTTCCATTGATTTCGACCCTTAAAGACTCGGGCTTTTACCATTTTTTCTTTTAAACGCTGCTAGATTTACAGATTCACCGCTTATAACAATGGCTTTTCTTCATTCGCATGTAAAAAGAACGCCATTGTTTCTTTTGTTGACAGTTTTTACCTTTGACTGGATCGAAACCACAGTCTAGTGTTTATATGAATAAAGATTGTTTATTTTACATATGTGTGTGTGTGTGTGTGTGTGTGTGAGTGTGTGAGTGTGTGACTAGTCTTACCATAATGGAAAATCTGATTTTGTATTCGAGAAAGCCGTACGAATAGGGACGGAGCCGGTCCACCTAAGCTGCGAACAGAGTAATATCTCGACGGCATTTGTGGTGGACGTTCTTCTTATCCTCCAAAAGAAGATAATGTCTGTATCCGCGAGAAATCCGATACCACCGATCAATCAACTGCCCAGTAGCTGCAAATTCGCGATTCTGCAAACACCCATTTGCATCAGTTGCAGATACGCTTCATCTTCTCCTCGTAAGCCTTCATCGTTCTCTCTCAATGCGCCATCGTCTCCTGTTCATCACAGCTCGAGTTTCGCCGTTACCAAACGCCTCTCTACTTCCATGGAGTGGCAAGACTGCACGTAAATCCTCCTTCTTGCTCTCGCTATTTCTCTTGTTGAGTTCTTCCTGTGCTTTACTGGGTTCTATCAGATTCAGATTCCCCGCAAAAAAAAAAAAAAAATTGTCTGAAACTCAAATCTGCAATCTCTTTGACAACATGACAACGTTTCCATTAGAGCCAATGGTCTGGATACGATTCTAGAGGATTGATCTGTAATGCCATGAAAAGGTAGAAAAAAACAAGCATAGTTCTGAGTAAATGTGAATCTTCTTTGTTGGGTGAGGTGAGGGGATTCAGGGTGAAGAAGGAAGTGGATGTTCCAGTTTCGGTGGCTTATAAATTCTATTTGGACCGTGAATCATTCCCCAAATGGATGCCCTTCATTTCATCCGTCGAGGTAGATTCAATTGCTCCGATCATCAATCTTGAGTCATCGTCTTTGCCTTCGGTGGTTCTTGATCTGTATAACCAGAAAGGAGCTGTGTTTTGTTGTTTCTTTAAAGGTGCTGAAGGACAAGCCAGATTTATCGCGGTGGTCACTCAAGTACAAGGCGTTTGGACAGGATATCGAGTATTCATGGCTTGCTCGGAATCTACAGGCAAGAACTCGTGATTCTCTCTATTGCTACAAGTACCATATTGTCCATCAATCTAGAAGCTGTTAGTCTTTGAGACATGTGGTTTGAAAGCTATACCAAATTGTGGAACCGAAATATAGAGACTGCGAGATTGAAACATCGGAAATTAGAGACTCGAACATTGGTTAAGACGGGAAAAAGGGAATTTCGATCTTGGAAATCCTGTGCTTCTATAAATTGGATGGCGTTTTAAGAGTGATGCCGGAAGAAAGAGTGCTGAAGGACAAACCTGATCAATCTCGTTGGGCTTTGAAATATAAGGCGTTTGGTCAAAATATCGAGTATTCTTGGCTCGCCAGAAACTTGCAGGCAAGTGCCAAGACATAGTAGTTTTAAAAAATGGCTTTAATAATCTTTTGATTGGGTTTCAGACATTGTCTTGGAGACTTGAGTTATCTTATCGATAAAACATTGAACAGTTTCGGTACAAGGTTGTCTGGAATTCAGTAATGTGTTCCTTATATCTTGATTTCGTATAATTGTCTTTAGATGACGTTAACATTTATAACTTGCAGCCCATACGGAATCAAGAGTGTTTCTTTTTGGATGCAGCCTACTCCTAATCAAAAGATTCATTGGAGATCTCTCGAGGGACTTCCAAACAGGTATCGATCGGAAACGTGTCTGAGAGAACTGATCTTTGATTTTTCACTCTCTTGCCAGTAAGATTTGAAACTCTGAAGAACTGATTCACTCTCACAATGACAGGGGCAGTGTTCGGTTCTTCGGGAAAGGCCCCTCATCATGTGTTGTAGAAGTAAGAACACTCTTCGTCGCAACAAATCCAATCCTTCACGTGTCCTAACACTTAACTTTTTTTTTTTTTGGTGGGTTTATTCTCGCTTTAGCTGACGGTTTCATACGAAGTCCCGACGCTGTTGATCCCTGTGGCATCCGTGAGTTACTCTAACCCTAATCTCAGCTTCACTTGCTTCCAGAGTTCCAGGTTTTTCGGAACAGAACTTGTCGTGTCTGACCCTTTGTTTTTTCATGAAGGCGCTACGTCCATTTCTCGAGGGATTGCTTAGACAAGGCCTTGAACGTTTTGCTGCCTTGGCCAAAACCACTTAGGTCAGCTTTACAGGATTTCGTCCATAAATCCCAGCTTCGATCCTCCTGAATATGAAAACAGTGAATTCGATTCAGTTTTCTGATTAGGGTTTTGCGGATTTCTGATTATACAAATCACTTCTATGTAAACTTTAATTATAATATTCGTCTGAATATGGAAGTGATATTATCGCCAAAGACGTTAGCTTTGGATCAGGAACGAAATAAAAAGACAAGAGACCCGCAAACCGACAGATGGGAATGAAGCTAAAGTCACGCAAAGAGAGCTTTCCTTTGCTTGCGGAACACGTCACCATTTGCGTGGTGTGCGTGAGTCAGCTCTGAAACGTCTCTCGTACTATTATATAATTTGGTCTTCTCTCAGCTGTTAATATTACTGAATTTATTTTTATCAAAAAAACATTATTTTTTATATTAACACAGCACCATCGCAGTACAAATATAATAAATTAATAAAGATGTATTAAAATGAATAAAAAATCAACATTATAAATCTCTATAATGACCCAAAAAAAAGAAAACTCTAATAACTCGTATTGCAAACGAAAAATAAAAATTGTTAGTGCTGGATTGAAATTGATTTGAATTATAATGGCGAATATGTAATGAGTGTGCGATTTAAGAGGAGACAGAGGGGTGGGCGTAGAAACGGGCACACCAAGATGCACCCCTTATATTCAGGTAGGCGTAGAAAGAAAATAATACGCACACCCTTTTGGTATTGTGGTGCTCAATTTCCGATGCCGACATTAACCTATCTTAACCACCTTTGCTACATTTCAATCCATTCATACCCTAATTAATGGATCCCCATAATTTAATTAACATCATTAATAATGCACACACATATATATATATATATATATATATATTAAGCAATCGACCTTGCTGTTCATCGAACAAGGGAAAGACCAAACCCATTCTCTCTCTCTAGAAATGTCTGCAGTTTCTTGTACAGTTCCAAACGCGAAATCTTCCGTTTTATTCAGAAGGGTACCGAGAAGAAGCCACAAGCTTGAAACTTTACCTGCATCACGAAGATCTTCTTCTCAGGCACCGCCATTGATTTCGTCATTCTCTCCGTCTCTCTCTGCAAAATTTCGCGTAAAACTTGACGTTTCCTCCAATCCTTCCCCCAGAGCCTTCAGGCCAGTCATGCAGTGGCAAGACGTCACGTGCGTAATCCTTCGTCTACTATAGTGATTCACACATATGCATATACACAGACATACATGCGGGACGATATATAAAGTTCCAAACTTTATGAGATTATACGCGTAGATACAAACCATACAAGATTCTTTCGCCGTCGTTCCATGAAACCATTATAGTCACGTGTATATATATCAAGTCTGGATTTTTATTTTAATTGCAAGAGTTTATATACACATAAAAATAAATATATATTGTTTCATCGCAGGGTGAAAATGGTGGTAGATACACCAGCTTCTGTTGCTTACGAGTTATACTCCGATCGCGACTTGGTTCCCAAGTGGATGCCCTTTTGTTCATCTGTTGAGGTATACTATCACCCATTATTTTTATTTTTCCAACGCTCAACTCTCTGTACAATGTATATTTATGATCCTTTTTATAAAAAAAAAAATAAATAAATATTTATGATCCTTCAACTCCATTTTTTTTATTGCAGAAAATATTGTTTTATCTTTATTTTTTTTTAATAGGTATCACATGACAATCCGAGTCTATCTCGATATCGGATAAAGCTCGAACCGTTCGGACAACATATCGAACATAGTTTTCTTGCGAAAACGTTGCAGGTATATATATATATATATATATATATATATATATATGCAGTTTATACGAGAAAATGGATACAAACGTTGGTAGTATTATTTTTTAAAATCTTTATTAACAGCTAGAATTTCTCGTGTACAGCCAATTCCTAACAAGAAGATCCAATGGATATCTCTTGAAGGTTTTGCCAACAGGTAAAATTTTATACAACGTTAAAAGAGTGACTGAGATTATTCGCTTAGTTGTCCATGGAAATAAAAATTATAATTTACGCTTAAAAATAGAAGGAAAAAAAAATAATTATATTATCCTTTAATTACAATTATAATTTTTGGCTGTTAAATCATAGAAAAACCAGTAACTTTCTGGTGTGTGTGCTTAACAGAGGCAGCGTTCGGTTTTTTCCAAGGGGCCCTTCCTCGTGTTTAGTAGAGGTCAAGTAATATGTTGCTTTTATATTTTTTTTGGTTCATTTCCCATTACATATTATTTTTTTTATATAACCCATTACATATTATTGTATAATATAAGAATTAAAATAATATTTTTCGTTTATTCAATGCGTTTTTTCTTTCTTTCTTTCTTTCAGATGAATTTCGCATTTGAAGTCCCCTACCAATTAGCCCCATTTACTCTGGTTAACATTTTTTTTTTGCATATAAACTTTATAATAAATTGGTAATATCTTTTTTTTGTAAGATCTAATTCTATCTTTATGTGTTTTCCCCAAAAAAAACCAGGCGTTGAAACCCTTCATGGAGAACCTGATTCGTGGCGGAATGGAACGTTTTGCTGTCCTCGCGAAGACCATGCATAATTAAAAAAATAATTAACTTTTATATTAATTTATTTATTTTTTAACCTAAGAAATTAAAATTCTTTTATGTTATATGCCCTTTAAAATTTGAAATCAGTTTGCAAAAGCTTGTTTTTTTTCCGAAAAGAAAATATGATATTGTTTGCGAATTGTTTCGTGATTTGGTTATGATTGGGCCTTTGCGTTAGAGAGCGTCGAATATACTAATGGGCTGGGCCTCGAGCCCATTCCAAAGATTTCGTGTTATTTGCCGTGAGGCCCTTAGGCTTGAAGCATAGAATCTCTGAGGAAGCTTCCGAACGAATCGGAGGCTTAGCGATGGGTACAAAGAAGAGTCCAAGTGAGAGTTGAGTGGGAAAGTGATGGTGAATCATGCGGAAGTGTATCAGAAAAAAGAAAAAAAAATGATTTTTCATCATTTGATTTAGCCGACCAATGCCTTCATCTCCAATATTCTAAAACTTTTAACCATTATATTACACGCAAATTTCCAATGTATTTGAAAAACCCAAAAAGAATAATTTATCATTATTTTTTTTAATCAAATTACTCCGAAAAAAAACTCCTTCTCGAACCATCATTTATAACAAATAAAATATTAATTGGTCAGGAAAAATCCTATAAAAAAAAGCATAAGCTAAAATCTTATAATAAGAAAGAATATATCAATAGGATCAAGGATGGAGCACAGTATGGCGACATATACTCTTATTGAAGCAAAGGGTATCTATGAAATCTCTTAGGTTGGGGGCCAAATATTCAAATGGCAGTTCTCATCACCTTCGCAAACGTGGTATCTTTCGTATGAAGCATGCCCATCTACACATACCCTAAAAAGCAGCCCTATGCACACATATATATATATATATATATTCTTAGATTTTAATTAGTAGTATACCATAGGTTATTGCCTTAACTGGACCAACTTGTACACATGAACGTTCATTTTAATTTATTACTTGCCCGTTATATTGGAGAGAAAACAAAAAATAGAGGCATATTGATAATGTAGGATTGGATTTGAAATCTTCATTTGACCTCCCATATGGCAATACCTATACATACATACATACATATATATATAAATACATCTAATTTCTAAATATTGCTAAGAGTCTAAGACATGTCTTCTAGGTGATAGAGAAGTGCATTTTTCTTAATCTTGGATTTGCACAAGTTATATGTATTTTTTTCTATACCATAAATCATATTTTTGAAATTATTAGAATACGATCTCTAAATTCCAATCGAATTTTGTAAGAAACCACTAAAGTACGACTTGACTTTTAGTTAAAGCATTTTAGTATTAGTTAGTGCATGTCGTATTGTAGCCGCCATTTGTGTGGAGGCTGAGGTCAGATTCATGTATAATTGATTTTCATTCTCTTAATCCCATGTTATAATTGTTCCTCCATTTTATCACCCAAAAAAAAAAGTTTATTTTTTTTCCAACATTTATACCCTCGAGCATATCCACTTAATTACTGAATTAAATTATTATAACAGTTTGAAAAAAATCAGTATTCTAAAAATTAAATTTCATACTACACTAATATTTTTGTTAACTATATATATACGTAACTAGTTGTAATAATATACGGAGAAATGTATGAAGACTATAATTGTATTTGGAATTTATTATGAAATGGGAAAAAGGGAGAAAATAAAAATGTGGGAGGAAAAAAGAGAGCATAATTGGCCTCCACCGAAAAGTGAAAGCGGCGGTGAAATTCAGACCAGACAATAGTGTTTTGGGGGTGTACCTGTAACAATAATGGGTGGTCGGTTATAAGTATTTTTCTAATGAAAAAAAATAAAAGATATAAAAAAACTATATGATAAAATTTCATTTATAAAATATCATAAATGAAAGTGGATTGGCCACTGAAGAAGCCGAAAGAGGATGCAAACGGATATAACCCACTCGTGGACAAACTCTTTTGTTCCTTTGGAATTTGGATTTTATAATTTCCAAATTCCAAATGATATTTATATCAATTGTAGTCAATTTTATCCGTGGTGGATGATAATGCTTTTCATGTTACATGTTTTTTGCTATGGTTAAACTTTACTACATATTCTGAATTTTTTTAAAATTTTATTATTTTGTTGATCACATGATGTGATTTCTTGACGATCCATTTCCTCTGGGTAATTAATGATACAACCATTTATAGGAATATTAAAATGAAATACATATTTATTTATAATATCGGAGTAAATGTTATGGATTGTCCGCCGCACCATTAATTAAGTGAACTTAGTCAAATGTAAGTTGAGATAGAGGGAGAGACCGCTCTTAATGTTATTTCTTCGGAGAAGATTTTCGTAATCTGTGTATAATGGACATGATCATGTGGGTATTCAAATATATGGAACATATATAATCACATGAAATATTTGCAAATATATTTAGAATAATACATTTTTTGTATTTTTATAAAAATAACTATATAAACGTATTTGAATTTACATTTTCAATGCAAGTTCTATAAATATATCTCTCTCGGATCATTTAGCTGAATTCATCTTTCATCGTATGTACTTTTTTACTCTATTTTGTAAACTCGTAAAATATATTGCAAAACAATAAAATAATTTATTATAAATTTAAAATAAGTAAATGATATTGCAATAATTATTCATTTGTAGTATATTGTAAAATTCATGTTTTAGTTTTTTTTTTTTTGTGCTACCTAATTATTTTCCACCAAATAAGGGTTTTCATTCTAATGATCGCTTAAAATCGTCTGAGCACATGCCCCTCTAAGCTGTATTGAACTGTCTTACACAGTTTAGCATACTAATTATGTCCAAATAATTTATATTAATTAATGAAATCAAAATACAGTTCAAAATTCATAGATACTTTCCATGACATTATAAGATATCCTACATATTACCGAATCTGAACCATAACATGGGGGAGAAGGGAAATTTTAAATAAATTTAATCGCTGTGTTATTACATTAATTCCCATGCAGCCTCCACATTCTTTACAAAAACAATTAAAAAAATGAAAATGCGTAATGGAATTTGGTCGGTCGAAGCCCTATATACGTACCTTCTGTCTATCATACATGTACCCTTTTTACAAATATACTATATCCCCGATAACTTAAATTCTATCTTGAACAGATTATAGAAGATGTAGTGGGTCGTATAACTTTCACTTGAATATTACATTAATACAAATTTACATTTACATTAAAAAATGATGAGTTTATAATTGCTACAAGAGTAAAAACTTTCACTTGTCATCACTTGTTATAAATGCAAAATTTAAGCTTATAACAAATCCAGTCTAATTAAGATATAATTATAATTATGTGAAAATTTCCATAAATAATTCTCTTAAATGAAGAGTATATATGCGCAATTTTGTATAAACATGGTAAAAGATCATTCAAGTTGGATTAATATAACACCAAAAGAATAGAGAAAATTCCTTCCGAAATTATTATTATTTTTGTTAAAAATGGGAACCAGTCTCAACTTTATGGCCCACCAATCTCACACTCGCAGTTATAAAAGGAAGGCAGAGATGTCTGCTTCCGCTGCAAATATTATTTTCCAAAGAACACAAAACCATAGGACTCTTTAAACTCGCTTTTCTTCTTACAAGTTTTTAAAGTTAGTGCGGTTCTGTTTCTTCACTCCTTTCCCCCACTTCACACATTCAAAGCTCAAACCTCAAAATTCCCAATTTCAGATCAAACCCATAACCCTAAAAATGTCGATTTCTCGGGATCCGCCTCTCTTGTTCTTAGCTTTCTTCATCACGTTCTCTCTTGTTTTATCCCCTGTGACCGAAGCTAGATACCATCACCACAAAGAGAAACACGACAAGCACAATCATCACGGCCCGAAATCTTCACACATTTCCGAGCCTCCTTCTTCGTCTATCTCTCAGCCTCCTTGTCTTTCTCCGGACCCGAACGAGCCGCCACCTTCCGATGATCCGTCCGGTGATGAAGGCATCTACGACGTCAGGAAGTTTGGTGCGGTCGGAGACGGTGTCACCGACGACACGGAGGCTTTCAAAACGGCGTGGGATTCGGCCTGCAGCAACGAAAACGTCACCACGTCTGTCTTGCTTGTGCCTTACGGCTTCACCTTCATGATTCAGTCCACCATTTTCACTGGTCCTTGCCGCTCATACCAAATCTTGCAAGTACTAATCCTTCTCTCACACATTCTTGACTCTTAAAAGATCACATCTTTCTTGTTTACTATCCAATAGCTTGGACGCCATGTACATATAACGAGATTTTGGTTGATGGGTTTTCGGTGTTTTGATCGTCCGTTTGGTAAATAGGTGGACGGGACAATTGTGCCACCAGATGGACCGGAGTCGTGGCCGAGCAACATAAGTAAAAGGCAATGGCTCGTCTTCTACAGAATCAACGGAATGTCTCTCAAAGGCGCCGGCGTTATTGACGGACGCGGACAAAAATGGTGGGATCTCCCCTGCAAACCGCACCGGGTAACATTCCAAACTCACACACACACACACACATATATATTTATATGTATATATTCATTAATTTTGGATTATGTTTTTTATGTGCAACATTTGAATGCCCATGTCGTTATTATCGGATCGTATGTTCAACAGTCCGCCAACAAAACTGAGTACGTCGTCGGACCTTGTGACAGCCCCATCGTAAGTTCATCAAAAGTCACATTTTTTTTCAAAAAATAAAATATTATTTATCTTTCAGATCAATATTATACTTTTGATATTAAATGAGTGGGTTTTAAACTAATATAATATACTCTTATATATAATAGGCCATAAGATTCTTCATGAGCTCTAACTTAACGGTGGAAGGACTGAGGATAAAAAACAGCCCGCAGTTCCATTTTAGATTCGATGGCTGTAAAGACGTTCACGTCCATTCCCTTCACATCACCGCCCCGGCGTTGAGCCCCAACCCCGACGGCATCCACGTCGAGAATTCCAACTCCGTCCAAATCTACAACTCCGTTATCTCCAACGGTACATATACATATATGTATATATACATATATATATATATATATATATATATATTGGAGTTAATTCGCTGGATATTTTCTTGTCTGAATGATTTTTTCCATTTAAATAATTCGCAGGAGATGATTGTGTGTCGATTGGTTCTGGATCTTATGATGTCGATATAAGGAATCTCACTTGCGGTCCCGGCGGTCACGGAATAAGGTACCTAGAACGGTCCAAACGTATGAATAAATAAACGTTTAAAATTCTCATTATTACAAAAAAAAACTTTACCCCACTAATTATTATATTGGACATATATATCAGTATTGGAAGCCTAGGCAACCACAACTCACGAGCATGCGTATCGAACATAACGGTGAGAGACTCCGTCATAAAACAATCTGCCAACGGTGTCCGAATCAAGACATGGCAAGGCGGGTCCGGGGCTGTGTCGGGTGTCACATTCAGCAACATCCACGTGGACAATGTCCGAAACCCTATGATCATCGATCAATACTACTGTCTATCCAGAGATTGCTCGAACAAAACGTCCGCGGTGTTTGTATCGGACATAACGTACGAAAGCATAAAGGGTACGTACGACATAAGGAGCCCTCCCATGCATTTCGGCTGCAGCGACTCGGTCCCATGCACGAACCTAACCCTATCCGACATCGAGTTGCTTCCCGCCATTGGCGACATCGTTCTTGATCCCTTTTGCTGGAAAGCTTATGGGAACGCCGAAGAGCTCACAATTCCTCCCATCTCGTGCCTCATGCCCGATCCCCCGACTTCGTTATTGGATGCCCTTCTCGAACAGTGTGGACACTGACGACTCTAATTATTCGAAATAATGCGTGTTTTTAGATTAATGTATAGAGTATGTATAACTTGAAGAACTGAATCGATCGTGTGAGGAGTGGTATGTTTTATTTGCCGCTCCCGATATCTAGATATGTAAAAGATTTGTCGTTTGTGTTTTAGGTTTCTATGATGATTTGCATGTGTACTTTTTTTGAACTCATTATATTATGGAGTGATTGTGAATTTGCTTCTTAGATTATATATATATAAAGTTAATGACGATGATAGATAGGTGTTCAGAGCCATGGAAATGGATTATTCAGAGGAAAAAAGGAGGGAATATTCGAACTTTGGATGTTGTCTTGTCACTTTGAGTAGGTACAACGACAAAATTTATGTTTTTTTAAAACAGAGCTTATAGATATTATAACTATGAGCACTAAATTTGTACGTTTCACGAATCTTTTGACATGTCACATTTGTGGTCGCATATTAACATCCGGTTATTAAAGTCATTAATTATTAGAATATTCAGAAATGTTAAATTTTCATGTAGAGTCGGTCCATATAATCGACACATCGGTCGTATTATAAACTATTTATAATTTCATAATAAAAAATTAAATAAAAACACAGACGTGGGAAAAAAAGATAACGGACTCGGGAATTTCGTAAGTACGTCAGAATATTAATTTGTTTAATAACATGGAGACAAAAACATTGTCAATCTTTTCGGACCTACTTTTAATTTGCTGATCAAACTTTAATGATAAACCTTTATATATATATATATATATATGTATATATACACACATAATAAAATGGAATATGCGAATTTCACTTTTAATATTAATTATGATTTCCCCTTTTCTCTTTTAGGGGTTCTAACGACCAACTTGCTTAAAGTTGCCTGTATCACCGTTGCACGCGCAGCCACTACTAACCAAGCGTTAATCATAAACAATTACACCTATATATACATATATATGCAAACATAGCGCGCGCACACACATACACACACATATATATATATATATATCAATTCAAACGATCGAAATTGATTATAGTATCCTTAAAGATTCCAACCTTTGAAAATTACGATGATGGCGATGTTTCTACTACATCATGCAAGCTTTTAAATTAATTAAAAGAACATTCTTCTTCTATTTGCGATAATACTGTTACAACGCTATATTGCAAAACTCATGCGACGGTCGAACTTATATCAATAAAATTATATATCTCGAGCAACAGTTACGGATTCGTTGCGAATTCACAAAACTTAATGCAGTAATTGACATGAACTTACTACCATATTTTCTTACTAATTATTGGTAATTCTCAAGGTTCCTCTCCAAACTGTTTGCCTATATATGTCCTTCACACACACACACACACACCTATACATACATACATACATACATACATACATACATACATACATACATACATACATACATACATACATACATACATACATACATACATACATACATACATACATACATACATACATACATACATACATACATACATACATACATACATACATACATACATACATACATATGCACCTGTACATGCAGCCTCGCCACAAGAACAAGATACACGGTCAAGCATATATATATATATATATATATATATCTCGTAAAAATATTAGATCACAACTACTCCAGATTCTTCGTCCGATACATGAGATAACAGCATACATTGTTCAAATTCGAGTAAACAAAATCATGTATAGTTTATTATTATTATTATTATGTTTATGTTAAATGAGATTAGGCTTACGTGGTGGGGGCGAAAAAGGGAGGATGGGTGGACGCCCTACATTCCAAATGCGACCCACCAACCCTCTCCATGTTGTACATTTGTTAAAATATCTCTAGTAACAAATACAAATTTAATTTCAGAATCTTCGAGTGGACTGTAAGCTTTTCTTTACCTCACAATGAATGTTAAAATGTTGTTATAACCTATTTCTTTTTCTTTTACACGACATTGCAGTTATACATATTAAAACTTATTATACGGTCTTCTTTTTGTGTCAGATATCTAAAAACTCTATACATAAATATTCTGAATTAAAGGGCTTGGAATTTTTAGGAAAGCAATTTGAAGTCTCCATCAAGTACCCTAATTTATTGAGAAACTCACCCAAAGATTCTCCCTGGCTTTGGGGCATTGTCTCTCTACGTACGGATAGGCCCTAACAACACCTACCCACCAATTACCGCTCGGTCCATAGAGTTAGTGTCTCATTTAATATACAAAACTTGTCCGATTGAGTTTTATCTCTCTCATTATAATTATACACATATCCCCTCCTAACGAAAATAATTGTACTTCACAATTACAATACAATTCGGCCATACATATGCTATATATATGTACTTGTTGTTCCGTGATCGAGTATTCTCCGTGAATCGATTTGGTACTGAAAGCGAAAAGAAAGACAATGCACAAGAGATTTTACGTGTTCGGATTCCTTTGAATCCTACGTCACGGCCAAGTGAACCTGGCAATCCACTATAACGAGATCGAGAGACGACGACGATCGAAAAACATACAACCGATGAAAGGATCGACGAATACGCAGAGGAGAGAATGAAAGAATGAGAGCAAGAAAAAGACTGAGAAGGAAAAACAGAATTCTGGAGGAAGAAGACGCTGCAACAGCTTATAACGACCTCCTCGTGAAGTACCGGAATTACCCTCCACGTGTCCAGCTTCATTTATTTCTCTCTAAACCCTCCGCTTTCTTCAGAGGGTTTGCCATTTCAGAGCATTCCTTAACAAACTCCACCTTGCTCGTCAATGGCACCTCGTTCATCATGGATTAGCTCGTATTTACTTGGCATCCACTGAGTTTCCTACTCAGTAAGTTTCAGCAAATCCAACGCCTCGTTGAACTTGCCTACCGGTAGTGTTTTCGTCAATATGTCGGCTGGATTAACCTCTGACTTGATCTTCAACACCTGAACCTTCTCTTCAGCAACTATGTCTCTCAAGAAATGCAGGCGTATATCAATGTGTTTTGTTCGTTCATGATGGACGCTGTTCTTGGCGAGACATATGGCGCTTTGTGAATCGCAGAAAATCTTCACCAGTCCTTGCTTGATTCCAAGCTCCTCTGTTATCCCCTTCAACCATAATGCTTCCTTGAATGACTCGGCAAGAGCCATGTATTCGGCTTCTGTTGTTGAAAGGGCGACGACGTGTTGTAGTGATGACCTCCAGCTTATCACGTTCCCACCCAATGTGAAGATGTATCCTGTTATCGATCTCCTTCTATCTAGATCTGAGGCGAAGTCCGAGTCACAATAACCTGTGATTGAAAAATCCTCTGTCTTGTCTGTGTAGATCAGTTTTCGGTCCAAGCTTCCCTTGATATAACGCAGTATCCATTTTACGGCTTCCCAATGAGTTTTGTTTGGTCGACTCATGAACCTGCTAACTAAACCAACACAGTATGCAAGATCTGGTCTAGATCCTATCATGGCGTACATGATGCTTCCCACAGCGTTGAGGTAGGGGGTTTTATCCAAGTCTAATGTTTCTTCCTGATCACCTGTGCTTCTTAGCTTAAAGTGAGTGCCCATGGAAGTTAATACTGACTTTCCCTCATTCATTCCAAATGTGTTCAACACCTTCTCCAGATAATCCTTCTGAGATAATGTAAGAACTTTGCTGGGCCTGTTTCTGTCAATGTCAATTCCCAATATTCGCTTAGCTTTACCCAGGTCCTTCATCTCGAACTGTGTAGCCAGCATATCCTTTACCTTCTGTATTTCCTTCTTGCTTTCCGCTGCCACCAACATATCATCCACATAGATTAGTAGATAAATGTAGGATTTGTTGCTTACCTGTTTGAAGTACACGCAGAGATCGTGTTTGCTCCGAGTAAATCCCTTCTGTATCATGAAGCTGTCAAACTTCATGTTCCATTGCCTTGGTGATTGCCGCAATCCATATAATGACTTTCTGAGTAAACAAACCTTCCCTGAGTTGCCCTTGATTGTGAAGCCTTCGGGCTGGTCCATGAAGATCTGTTCCTCTAAATCCCCGTGAAGAAATGCTGTCTTGACGTCTAGTTGCTCGAGTTCTAGGTCCTTGTAGGCTACTAAGGAGAGCAGGAGCCTGATACTTACGTGTTTCACTACTGGGGAGTAGATTTCATTAAAATCTATTCCTTCTCTCTGAGAGTACCCTTTGGCCACGAGTCTGGCTTTGAACCGAGGTTCTTCGACTCCTGGTATCCCGGGTTTTCTCTTGTAAACCCATCTGCATCCTATCACTTTCTGATGATTTGGTCTATCTACCAGTTCCCATGTTTTGTTTTTCTGTAGGGATAGCATTTCTTCCTCCATGGCATGTTGCCATTTCTTCCTGTCATTTGATTGGATAGCTTGAGTAAATGATTTTGGCTCATCTAACTCAATCTCATCTGCTACTGTCAGAGCAAATGATACCGAGCTTTCTTCTCTAAACCTGAGAGGAAGCTGTATATTCCTCCTTTCTCTGTCTCTTGCTAAGAGGTAGTCTTGTAGACCTTGGTTTGTTTCATCTGTATTACTTCCTTGTTCTTGTGCTTCTGTAGTTGGATTATAATCCGGGTTTGTTCCCTGCAGTTCATCCTCTGTTGTGTCTTCATCCTGAGATTCTATATCATCTCCACCTGACGCTGAGCAGTCTTCTCTTTGTGACTGATCAGACAATTGAACTGGAAGGTTTGTGATACCGAACCTAGTGATTTCTTGGTGGATTGGACCAGTATTCCCTCTGGTGTTCAAGTCTTTGTACACCGTATCTTCCTTGAAGAATATGTCCCTACTGATTAGGATCTTCTTTTCTTCAATCAACCAGATTCTGTATCCCTTGACACCTTGAGGATATCCCACAAAAATGCCTTTCTTTGCTCGGTTCTGCAACTTTCCTTGGTTTGAGTGTGCATATGCTATGCACCCAAATCTTCTTAGCTCCTTGAGAGAGGGTTCTCTGCCATGCCACACTTCTGTGGGTATCTTAAAGTCAATTGCACTAGATGGTGATAGGTTTATCAGATGTGCTGCCGTTGTAGCAGCTTCTCCCCAAAATTCTTGTCCCAAACCCGAATCTGAAAGCATGCTTCTGACTTTATCCATCACTGTTCTATTCATCCTTTCTGCCACTCCGTTCTGTTGGGGTGTGTAGGTGCAAGTTCTGTGGCGTTTGATTCCATGGTCTCTGCAATATTGATCAAAGTACTGATTGC